CACCCCTCTTTTTCACATCAAATGCTAAGACAATCTTATCTTATTATCTTGTATGATTCTTACAAAATTATTTGTAATAGATGATTGTTTTGATAAAACTAGATTTCATTTTGATATTCAATATTTTTTATCAGTTGAGTTATTGAATAATTTTAAGCAATAGTTCTGAAAAATTATAGTTAAACCCAACAATTTTGAATCGAAGCATCACTAGCTGCTTAAACGCTTTTAATTTTATTCTCTTTATTTTCGATTCAAGATTTATTCAACTACTTATATATCAGGTAACTCTAAAAGTAATTCCTTCGTGAATTAATTTTCAGAGAATTTTATGTTAAATGAGGTATAATAAAAATCAATTAGTTTTTAAAAATAAACTTTGAATCTTATCGTGAAAATCTATTTTACTTACTGTGATTCTGATAATAAAACATAAAAATAAAGCTATAGTTATTCATTGGTTTATTGCTGTTTGAATGTATTTGTTGATAGGGAAATACTGAGAATTTCTTTTATTAAATGGTAAACATCACAGTTTTATATCTATATTAAAGTAATTTATTTGACATAGTTCATAAATGATGTTTCATATTTTCTTCATCGTTTAAATAAAGCAGAGTAATTAGTTGCACTATAACAGATATTTTTTCGATTGAAATTCTCAATATTTCTCTTTATATTATACAAAGTAGTGTTAGAATTACTTTCTCGACGCTGCGTCTGTTTAACCTTGTTATCCAAGTCATAATTTTTTTATATATATTTTCTTTTTTAAATATGGTGAAAAAAAACTCGAAAATTGCTGACTCGTTGTACCACAAATAAATTTTTTATTTGTGAAAGACAAAAAATCCCTAAGACTTGGAAACGATTTGGCAAGAGGCTGAAAATTATTCAAACTCTAAAACTCAGATTTCAAGGAAAAATTATTGTTACATTTGCTAAAATCTTATCTTAATTTTTTTTTCAATTTCCACCAGTGTTGATACTTTCTTAATTCCGGCGTATTAGGGAGGGTTTGTTCGTACAGAGAATGAAAGAACATCCATGCCTTGTCCGGGATTCGAACTTATTCTCTGAAAGTAAATAAATAATTAAATAGTTATATAAGCAAATAGTTCATGCCATTACGAAAACCTATTTTCATTTCAGGTTTAAGAAAAAAAGGATAAAAAATGTCAACAATATGTACGATAAGTTTTCAAAAAAAAAATGGTTGAGCTGTAACACGGTTATCCGAAGTAATTGAGACCGACTTTTGATGATCGAATTAATTAGGATTATATATGTAACATCATTCATTTTTGTAAATCTATTTTCCTCAGAAAACCAATTTATTTTTAAGTACAGTTTTTATATTTTATTTTAATATGATCATTTCAAAAATGTATTTCTGTCTCAAAAAAGTCGCTAAAAATGTCTTTTTTGGATTCAGACTTTGACAAAAATGTTTCAATTTTCAAAATTTGTTTTAAAAGTTCCTTTGATTTTTCGTGTGTAGGAAGAAGCATTTAATTCTGAATGGTTCAAATTGTTTTCATGGTTTGTTTCATTGATTTATATTCCTCTGCGAGCTCCATAAAGGTTTCTCTCAATTTCGTTCCCCCTACATTATTATATTTTTCTTTCACAGATGATACAATCCACTTTTTTTTTAGTTGAGATGGAAGCTATGATGTTCGGACTTAAGCATGTAAGTAAAAATAGAAAAATAGATAAAACAACAACAATTACAATAGTTAGACTTTTTTTTTTTTACTAAACCAAAGCAATAAACTTCATTAAATTTTTATATTTTACTTATATTAAATGATAAATTCTAGGTAGTCACGTAGTCCAATAATCATTTTTTTATTTGTTATTTTGAAAGCCCCAGGTATAGCCTATTTGAATCGTTCACTCCTATAATTGAAATAGTATCTTAAATTTTAGTATGAGGGCATTTGATTAAGTTGTAGCATTTTGGATTTATGACAAATTTCCCAAATAGTAAAAAGTTACACTTCTAAACACTGAGTCTGTTTTATTCATAATTTATGTTATAGAAGGAATTTAAAAAATGCACTTTATTTTTTTATCGAATTTCCATTTTTTCTTAAATGGAGATATATAATTTGTGGTTCGGATGGCGTAGTTATTACAACACATTATTGAAATTGAGAAAAGATACTAATTGAATTGTGAAATTGCATTGAATTGAGAAACTTAAGTGCGGTTTAAAGGAAGATGAACGGAAATTTGAGGCTCTACTAAATTCATTCAAGAAATAAACAAAATAATAAAATTAATGTAAACAAGCAAAATAAATTACTAAATTTAAAAAAAAATGTCTGGTGGTCAGCTGTCAATCACACAAAGTTTTAAAATTTAGATACATTTTAGTTAAATGTTTCTCCCAGATCGGCAGTTTTAAGTTTAATAAAACTTTGATTATTTAACTTATTTAAAAAATCATTTGAATTGAGTTGCTTGAATGATGTAGCCAAACATTTATGAACAGGAAAAATATCTTAAGTATTAAAATGTTTAACTTTCGTGTTTTCTCTCCTTTTACTACGTGTGTACAACAAGCAGTGTTCAAAAGCATTTTTCTTAAAGTTGGACGAAATAAAATTAATAAAAGTAAAAAAGTTTTTGTAAACCTATAACAAAAAATTACATTCATTTGCTGAAACTGTTCGTTTTCGTTCATGCTTGAAAATTGCGGCCATGTGCAATTCAAAAAGAAAAGCTTCATCGAAGAAAAATAGTACCGCTAAAACTTGAGTGAAATAAGATATAAAATTTTTAATATACGACTTTTTAAAGTTTGATCTAACACAAACTATTCAACCGGTTTCGTTCTAATTTTGTATTTTATCATTTAAAACTACACATTTTAAAATGATGTAAATGTTTTATGCCTTACAGTTAATTTTTTTTACCATTTTTAAATGAAATAAAAATTTTTTTTTTCTGCATGAAATTATCTTTGGAAAAACAAATTTTATAATTGTATGCTAACATTCTTTGACTCGTTTAAGAAGTTCTTGAGACACCGTGATGTACTTAATGAGTGCACGCAATGAGTGTATTGGGACGTACGTGAAAGCATTAAAGGGTCTACACTTTTGAAAGCTCTCCTGCATGAATTATTATGACCATACTTTCCCATTTGAGAGTACTTTCCCCTCTTTTGAAAGTTAAAAATCCAAATCTGCCAAAAAAGGTATGTTTATTAAGAGAAAGTACGTGTTTGTGTAAGTTTTCGTAATCTAAAATAGCGTCCGTGCTAACTAATTAGCATATTTTAGGTTTGACAATCAAGCCATTCAGATTTAGTTTTCGTGGTTTAGAGATAACAAAAATGTTACAATCTATGTAAAAAAAATATTAAATTATATAAAGAAGAAGAATAAACGTAATTACTTCTTCAGTGAAAATTTAATACTCTAATAAAATGGTGAAAATTAAATATTCTTTACTTGCTAGTGTTGTAAAAGTATGTTGCAACTTTCTATGGCAAATTTTTGATAAAATGCTTCATTTTATTTAAACTCACATAAATTTGTATAAATAATCGCAGTCGCATAAATGCTCATACCCTTATCTGCCTAATGCATTAATCACATGAATACTATTCATAAAAATCGTATTCATACGCACATAATTCAATGTATGAATACTATTTAACTGAAGAAATACTAAAGCTTTATTTTATTATGGATTATTTTAACAGGAATTTGTAATTTTAGTGTGATGTAGCAACTTGTAGTATCGAATGTTTTTATTTATCTAAGTGAACTTATCTGAATAGCAAAGATTCTTTATTTTATAACTTCATTATCGGCGCATGATAAAACATCGCTGTTAAGTTAATACTAGTTTTGATAAGTTTGACAACTTTATTTTGTTATCTAAAAGTAGATAATACTAATTAAAATTATCATTTTATTTCCCTTTCCAGAGTTTTCTTATTCATTCTAATTGTTTATTTACATATGTAAAAAATCAACTTGAATTTTTTATTATTTGTATGTGTTCTGAATGCAATTATGTGTGAGAAACTGTCATTAATTTCCTCTCGAAAAATATAGTATTGAAGCGAAAGTTTCAACAAAAAAAATTCATAAAGCTTCTGCATCATTCGTTTTAAATATGTTCAACTTTTTAAAATTTTATTAAGAAAAACAATTGTAAGAAAAAAAAATTTACAAAAAATACTTTTCTTTCTTCGATTGAATGAGTTTACTTTAACAGGTGAAGACTTTCCAAGCAAAATATCTTATTTTAATGTTTGAGCTGGCAGCATAATTTTTACATTAGTTCCTTATTCTTGTTTTTAAAAAAAATTGATATAAAAAGGCTTTGGCACCCATTACATTTAAAAAGTTTAAACATGTATGTAGATTATCTTATAGTGATTAAAATATTCATGAAGTATGAATTAAATATCCCCTTTCGAATTTACTTTATTGGCTGTTCACTACCGCTTGGAAAGTACATCTTTAGATAGTGTAAAAGTCGGTATGTATGAAATATGCTATTTTCTGCCATCGCTGGTTTTAGAAGAATAGACTACATTTTTTCTAGAATTGATGCATTTATCCAATGCATGTGTTTAATAGTTAAGAAACCTATTATATCTTGCATACCATGAGAAACATTTCTAATCACTATTTGCAAGAAGTTGAAATGAAACATAAAGTTTATAAATCCAGTTGAAATATAGTATAGAAATATAGAGTTCTTTTGTAAAAAGTGTTCAAGGATTGCCTATTTTACAGCATTTTATGAAATATACATTATCAATAATTGTTTTATTACTTATATTTGTAACATAATTATGGGCTCTAAAAATTACAGAGTTACGCTAATTAGTAAAAATTTTAAAAATACTTTTGATGGAACGAGATATTCATCAATTTTTATTGCTAAGATGTTCTCGCATCCAATTGATTTTGCACAGCAAAATTTATAATTTTTTATTTTGTACTTAAAAATTTCAAATATTTTTTCAGTTAACTTCGTAAACGCAAAGGCTTTCGGATGACGATTTCGCTAAGTACCGATAAGCTGAATAAGAGTCGGGAGAAGCTGAATAAAAGTCAAGAGAAGCTGAATAAGAGTCAAGAAAATGAAAAATCTAAAGAATATTCATCGCAAGAGATTGAAAAACCAGCGCAGACTTCTCCAAGAGCTTATAAGAAAATGTATATCATAATCTCACTAGTTTATGCAAATTTTTGGATGGCTGCATCAGTTTCTTTACAAGCACCTTTTTTCCCCAAAGAGGTAGGTAACTTTGATTTTCTGCAAAAAATATCTTACAAATTTTGATTTTGCATTATTAACTTACACTTTAACTACATTGCTAACTTTAACATTACTTTTTTTGAAAAACAATTGTAATAAAATAAAACGTTAATTTAATAACTATAATAAAGATATATATTGCACATTACTTTTTCTTACTGTCTTAACCTTCGAATGTATAACCAGAGTCAGTTATATTTGATTATTATACCACATCTAAAGGCCGAGATAGCCTGGTTGGCAGAGCGCTGGACTCACGTTATTGAGAACGAGAGTCTGAATCCAGCCGGCTGAAGACTTTCCCGTGTAATAAATGGTGACTGATGCACGTTAAATATGTCGGGCCACAAAGTCCTTCATGCTCCTGTAAAAAATTATACCTCTGGGGGAACTGAATTGGAGATTGATCGTTCTCTGGTTCAGGCCAAAACTGCGATCTGTGGAGGAATGAATGGATGTATGAATGAGTCTGCTCTATAAACGGATGTGACGTGTGGGTGTACGGAAGTCTAATTCCTGGCCATACATGGCGCCGTTGGAAAGCAAGAACAATTGCACCTCGTTTGCCTTAATGGCCAACGACAACCACGAAAACCGCATCTGAATTCGCGTACGTCTAACGTACTGGGATATTCACAAAATGTACAATAACTTAAAAAATGAGCAAGTCAGAAATGTGTGTTTTGCTATGATCTACTTAGAAAATTTCTCTTTTTCTCACCAAATTTCAGATATAACTAAAATTTTGGCAACGGATAGTGCTGTAGGACATGATAGTCTATTATAATTGAACTTCATTTGCTTCAAAAATACACTGATTGGAAATAACAGTCAACCTGTTACTTCCAATTCAGGGTAAAATGCATTTCCAAGCGCAAGGGAGGCTTATTTTGGAACTAAGGTCGTTAATAAGGGAATAAGCATTCCTATGAACAAAAAAAAGTTCCAGGGCATCAAGACGAGCAGTCACATTGCTCATATTGATGCCCTGGAACCTTTTTTTATTGGTTAATCAAGAAATATCTTACTTCTTTAGTTTCTTGGGATCATTTATTTAATTTGAAGTATTTGCAGAGTTTTTTTTGTCCATGTTAAGCTTAGACTGCGCCACGCTGATACTGGAAAAATATATTATTTTGAAAACAGTATTTTTAATTTTCCTAAATCAGCAGCGCCATCTGTAAATAATTTTGAAATTTAATAAGAATAAATATCTAGTTTCCGAAGCAGCAAACAGCAAAATTATTAAGAATAAGTGGTCGAATGATAGTAAGCTTTCTCTGCTCCCTGTACGAGTTTAAATAATGGAAACAAAAGCAGCGAAAAACCAATTTAGTTTAAATAAGAAGTAAAAATTTATGAAAAATTTGCAATTTGCAATTTATAGAATATTTTCCCTCTCATATTAAAAATATAACTATCAATACTATTAATAAATTATGTTTGTTTTTAGGCAGAATCAAAAGGTGCTACTCCTACACAATATGGACTTGTGTTTGGTGTTTTTGAACTGGTAGTCATAATTATGTCACCAATTTATGGAAAATTGGTAAGATATTTACTATTTCAAATATCTTGATTTTTATTTTTAATTCCGTATTTACTGCATTTAGGACTTTTAATGAAAATAAGTTAAAAATAAAATTTAAATGTGTTCTATTACCGTTATGAACTGAAAGCCTATTTTTTTTTTAAATTACATTTTCATTTTAGCACATTTTACAGCCAAATTTAGAAAATATGCTTTGAATTACATGACTTAAAAAAGAACTAATAATTCAGAAAAAATCAAATTATAAAATGCAGTTAAATATGAACTAGTGCGGCACTGTACAAAGCGGGAATTCTTTCTAAAATTGTAAACTTTGGAGGGCTCTGCAAACTATATGGAAAATATTATTTTAGTAAATTTTAGTAGGCATTAGCCGAAATCTGGTTAATAAGAGAACGTACATTTCAAGAAGATAGCAAGGAAATAAACAGCGAAACCGTTTCCCCGATTAGTTCAAGTAGTTTTTTGTACAGGAAATTTTGTTTATAAGAAACTTTTATTTATTTTTTATTTCCAATGGCAGATTATAGACAGTAATAGCATACATAAATATCTGAAAATAAGAACAGAAACAAAAGATTCTGCAACAGAGTCTATTAATCCCAACATGTCTCTAGCTTCCCAATAGCGTTCAGTGATAGAATTCCTGCAAAGTGCAGTGCGTGGAGTTCATGTCCTCACCAGAACTGCAAAGAGTGCATACCGGGGAAGGAACGATAGTCATGACCGGTGGCCAAGCGGAATTCAGCCACCGCTCTTCGTCTTGGGCCATTTCGCAAATTTAGGATGGTAGCCCTCCATGACTTAGTAGAAGTACGGTCGAAAAGTTCTTCATGAGCACAGGTCATAAAGGTCCTCTTAATAAGCTGTTTGTCTGAAGTCTGAATAATTAAGGCCCCCTTTTTTGCTAAGTAGTCTGCATTTTCATTACCCGTAACCCCGCAATGGGCAGGAACCCACTGGAGAACAATGGTTTTCTTAAGGGATGCTAGGTATTCAAGTTGGAGGCGGCAATCCAAAATGTCTCGAGTTAAGGGATTATTTAAGGATGCAATGGCAAGCAAAGCAGCTCTTGAGTCACATAGGACAACAGCTTTTTCAAAAAGATCGATATGACACTGTAACTGGACTAGAACTATTCGGATTGCAGCTATCTCTCCATCAAAAGCAGATCCCTGTCTCACAGGGGCATAAAAGGAAAAAGCCTCGGAGAAAACTCCGGCACCAGCATTAGGACTGTCTGGTAAGAGGGAACCGTCTGTGTAGATCCGAAGCCACTCTGGCGCAGGGTTGTAAGAGCTCAATGCTTCATAAGTCAGGACTTTCAGAATAGCAGGATCCATATTACGTTTATTTACACTTTGACATAAATCCAAATTAATTTGGAAATGCTTCAAATTTATTGGATTTTGGATTGGGATAAGATATTCCAATGTAATAAAGAAACGGAATCAAATGGTACAGAAAACTTTGTTTTCTACTTCTATAGAAATTTTTTAGTTGTAAACGCTTTGGTGCTTTATAAAATAGTTTCAAAGCAAACATTTTATTAGAAGATTCAAAGAAATGATAGTTGCAAAATAATGGGACTTCCCGTAAATGCAACTAAGTTTTCTTTTCGATAAATTGAGTATAATATCACCACTTGCAAAATTCTTCCTGAAAAAGCATTAGACGCGCATTCATTTCAATTAAGATGTGAAATGGACTAATGAAAGAGACCAGAGAATCTGAAGAAAACAACTTTTTATTCAGAATGTTCCCAGATATCCTCAGCTCTGAATAAAATACTTTAATGTTTTGCACATCAAATGCAGGGTTTGTACTCCATATAAAGCTTCATAAAAGTGGTATCAATATTGTAAAAAAGAAGTTAATATCTTTTTATTAGCTTTCACTTCAAAGTTTATAAGCCCGGAATTTCGTGACTAGATGCATTTATTTGGAAAGTTTAATGACTGTGGTGAATAGAAACTAAAATTTTTTGCTACTACTAAGATTTTTAACACCGTACAAACTCTGTAAATATTTTTTAATAAATCTGTTTATATTTAGAATTCAATTGTTTTATTACATCCGGCTTAACATCTGTCCAAATATTTTTAAAGATCCTTTGTTCAGAGTGAAATAAATGGAAGACGAGGCCAGATTAAAACTTTTGCTGTCTCCCGAGAAGAATTTAGTTCAACTATTAGTATGTAATAAAGTGAATAGTATCAAATATATACGAGGAATAACGGAAGATAAGGACACTAGTTTCATATAAACTTAACAAGAATTTTAAAATATGTCATGTTGCTTGAAAATTTTTTTAAAGTTAAAATTTTGTCTATTGTGACAGATTTGTGACGTGAAGCAGTAAAAATAAGATGCATAAACCTCCATTCTCCTAAATTAAAATATTCACTGCAAATCAAAGGATAACACAACAATAAAATGTATTTCATTTTATGGAATTTACAATTAAAAATTTAATTCGGTAATAAGGAAAGTTATATTACATATAAAAAAACTTCACTGTTTTTATAAATATGCAGCTGAAAATAAAAGTCGACATATTTCAAGCGCTCAAAAAAGGCGTTCGTTCTCAAGACTTGTCAGACGTGAATGACCTTCCTGCAAATCTTGAAAATGGACGCCTATTTTTGAGCTCTTGAAACGTGTCTACTTTTACTTCCATCTTATTTTTAAAGCCAATTTAGTTTTTTTTTAAAATTATTAATATCTTACGGCTTCAGTGTCTTGAGAATAACCCTTTAAGGAAGAGCTAGAACCATCCTTTCTTATTATACCTTTTTTTGAAAGTTTAAAAGTTTATTTATTTTAATATGATACAGTATGAATTTTCATATTTTATTAAAAAGTTGGAAAGAACCACATAATTAGAAATTTAGTTTAAAAAAATAAATAAAAGTATTAACCACAAATGATTTTCCTTTGAATGACAAAGCGGAAATAAAAAAGCGAACAAGAGTTATCATAGTTTTCTCAGCCGTGAAGTGAAAACCATTAATTTACTTTGCACTTAAGTAGCTCAAATCTTTATATTGATAATTTCATGTTTCTCAATAATTTTGTTTTGTTTTAAAGCAAATACGCCTACATTTCACCCTATCGCTAAAATTATCATAGTCATCAAACAATAAAAACTACTCTAGTTTATTTTTGTCAAAGCAATCTTTGTTTACAAAAAACGTTTATTTAAAGAATGATAACGAGACAATATAAATAATTTAGTAAGTTTTTTTTCTTTATTTTCAATGTTTCAAGGTGGAAAAAATCGTCAGTTAAAGACTGCGTGCACCGAAAATGGAAAACGTGGTAGCTAATCAGGCTGCTTGAGTAACTTTTGATTTTATCATTAGTTTTTCACGTATTCGGGCAATTTTAATGTTGCGGGAGGCAACTTTTAAATTATGCAAATTATTCAGATGGGGCGATGCTTCATACACAGCCTTTGATGTACAAATTTTACCTTTATCTTTCGCTGTACTATTACATTTATGCATAGTTACCATAAAAATCGGAATTATGTTTTGTTGGACGAACATATTATGCAGAGTAATGAAGGATAAAAAAATCAATATTTTTCTAAAAAGGAAAATTGTTATTACACTTAAAAATAATTTTTCAAATATTTTGAATTGTATACGTTTTCAAAGCCTTTTGACTTAAGTGAACTCAATTGTTCAATATTATAAGGTAAATATGACTCTTTTCCTGTGGTAGTAAGAGCAGACATAAAACTGAAAATGTTAAAAAGCTTTAGTGGTTGAGAGTAGACATTAATTTTTATTTTTAATTTCAAAGTAAGACACAACAATGCGAGTAGACATTTTTTTCTAATGTCGAGGCAAGATACAATAATGAGAACAGACATTTTTTTTCTAACAGCAAGGCAAGAGGCAATAATAAGTTAAGTACGGCAATATCTCTTACAAGGCTTGAGAATGAGAGCAAAAAAGTGACCGAAGTCATTGCCTTAGACTGTCTCTAGCATGCCCATATCGGGTGATTTCGGGCTCTGTTCATGTGAATGAAACATGCCGGAAGTATAGACGATTTCGTCGTCAAACTCCGGGGTACACCACTTGAATATTGTACCTTTGACAATTGTCAGATGATTGCGAGGCTGAAATAATAATTCTGATGAATGGCTCTGCTATCGTTATGTTTCTGATGCTATCCTATGTGTTCACTTTTGCCCAACTCGTACATTTTTCTTCGAAAATGTAAAAAATGCAACGAAATTACTTCATTAACGGAATGATCACCGTTCTTAGTATCATTTATTTGAAACACAGTAAATAATACATATATGAATAATAATAATATATATATGAACACACAATATTGTCTTCGTTTAAGCATGAAAATGGGTTTTTAAATTGAACTTAGAAAATTACAGCAATATGAATCTACTACAGTTTGCAGAAAAACTTCTATTCGCTGACTTTATAACTTTCACTTTTTAACTATGTTAGTTTTTAGAAGCATATTATTTGCACGTTACGTACAAATAATATGTTTTCATAAAACACTTTCACGTTGCATATAATAAACATGTGTTACTCTACAGTAATATTTTTTTAAAAATCTATAAGAATCTAATATTGTTAGATCAAATTAAAGTTGCTTTTTTTCCTTAGATTCCAAGAGTTTCCCCTAAATTTCTTATCACGTGCGGTGTGTTTGTCGGTGGGGTCGCATGCTGTGTATTTGGGTAAGTGATGTAATATCTGTTCTATAATTATTCTAAATTTTTTGTAAGAAAAATCTTTTACGTGCACAAATGTTTAAGCAAGTTTTTTGATGGCCAAGAAATAAATAAAAAGAATTAAACCAGCGTTTGGTTTAGGGAGACTTAACGAAAAGTTTTAACTGAATTCAACTCAGAATTGCTTCAACAAAAACTCGAATACCTTTCATGATCGCTTAGAAGGTTTAAGAAAATCTAACTCACAGTTCGTAGGCTAAACAATTGTTATTTAACGCTATGTTTAAGAGGCAGAGACACAAAGATATTAAAAATTTCCAGATCGGCTTTATTATTTTTTTTACAAAATACAATTTGTTCCCTCTTTCAAATTTGTAGAGAGTATATTTTTATTTCTGGTGGGGCATAAAATGAAGCTTAATCATTTCGCCTACCAAAATTGAATTTCAGTCAATGATAAAGTTTTGCATGTTTTAAACAACAAAATATTAGAATCATTGAATTTTTATGGTTTCAAAATTAAAAAGATTTTTAATGTTCCTGCAGAAAATTCACCCAATTTTCGTATACTTATTAAGATAAATCAGTAAAATTGCATCGAATGCATGAATTATTTTTTTAAAACAATTTATAAAATAGGCTCCCGACTTCCACACCAAAACAAAAGGAATCACGGCTGTCTTCTTACCACAAAGGGAATCACTGAATACAATTAATTCTATTTGGCTACAAAAAGGGTATAATTTCTTCAAATATTTATCAGAAACAATTGATGTGATTAAATGCAAATTTAATTTGATTAGGAGCTAAAATGAAAATTTAAATAATTTTATTTGTTTGAAAAGTTGCCCTGCTTTCCGATAAGCAGCTAAAAGGACTTAACGAAGCATTGTTTTAAATTAAAGAAATTTGCATTCCAAACGAACAAGCTTTTAAAGAAAACGCTTTATTTATGAAATTAAATTATTTTTAATTTTTGACAAAATCTAATGTGTTTCGTGCTTATCACTACTGCAGATTTAAAGATTGTGTTGTTTAAAAAATTATCTTTAAATCCACCAGGAGAGCTACAAAAGGTACCAGAAGAAACTTTTTCATTAACCTGATATTTATTCCAAGATATTCAATTTAAAAGATGATTTCTAAAATTTTATCATAGAATTTGCATTTTTGATTTAGTATTTGATTTACGTTTTTATTATTCAGGGTTTTAGATTATGTTCCAGCCGGGAAACAATATATTGCATTAGCCTTTGTCGTAAGAATCGTTGAAGGTTTTGGAGCAGCTGCTCTCATGACTGCATCATTTACAATAGTAGCAGCAGCATTCCCAGAATCAGTGGCAACAAGTTTTGTAAGTAGTAAAAATTTATGGTTTAAATGGTATTAAAAGTATTTTTAATTCCTTTTTACAGTATCTGAATTATTCAGAGCTTTCAAAATTAATCTTCTCTTTCTCAGAAAAATTATACACGCTTTATCATTGACGTTGCACTGCTGATTCATATAAAATTTCATTGGGTCTTTTTTGAGTGAAACTGACCTACATTTGGAAAACCATGAAAACCTCCCTTGATTAACCCTATGCAAAAGAGACTCTTCTTGATCAGTCTATTATTGGAAATATTTTTCACAAGCACTCTTCTTGATGCGAGCCCGGAAATGAATACTAATTGACCAGCAATCACTGGAATTCGCACCGGGAGAACTCCCCATTAGTTGAGCACTTTCTTGCCCACATTATTTAATGTTCTTGAAAATTTGTATTCTGGTTTGCTATAATAGATTCTAATATTTTCAACCTTTATTAGAAATATTCTTTTACATTCGATTAAAAAAACATCTAATTACAATTGCAATATAAAAACTAGCTGCAAGCTCTTCAAACATTCTTGCCAATTTTTTAATTATTTGGAATTTACAATATGTTTTCAGTTTCGATTTTACATGTTTAAGTGACGAGGTGCTTCGGTGAAATCGGTAAAGACGTCGCTTACTCTACTGGGGGTGAATCAAGGTTGTTAGTTCGATCCTGGAAGCCGATTAAACAACCGGTGTGTATAAGCAGCAAGTTGCATGTTGAATCTTTCGTGGTTGAAAGACCTCTCGTTGGTTGGAATGAGGAAATTTGGAGAGAGGAGTACCAGCTCAGTCGTTTTCCATGCCGCATGACTGAGGTAAAAATTACGTGGCTTTCTTACCATGGCTGCTAAAAGATGGAACCCTGATAAACGAGGCTAGGTGTTTGGGTGATGTGCTTATGTGATGAAAGTTTTAGAAATACTTTTTTAGTTACCGAAGTCTATTTCTCTTATTTAGTCTATCATAGAATTTCCGATTTTGAGATGATTTTACTGAGAAACAAAACTGATCCGTAATAATTTTTGGGAATAATTGCAGCTCATTGAAATATAAAAAAATATGCAATTCAAACTAATCTTTCTATATAAATGCATGATTTTAAATTTTTGTTTTGTTTTATTCTGTGGATTCATTAATTAATAGTCTGTATTAGTCTTGAAAAAACAGTTTCAATAAATAGTTATATAATTATGTTTCCATTCTAGTCACTGATGGAGACTGCATTCGGTATTGGATTAATTGTGGGTCCAACTATCGGTGGAGCCTTATATCAGGTACATATCATTAAATTGTAGCAACTTCGGTTAAATTGTAAAAAATGTATAAAATGTTTCAGTTTCATTTGTATACATTTATAAAATGGGAGATTTGGTTTCAAATGAAAAAAAAAATCGATTCGATACAGTTTTCTTTTCCGAATCTTTATTTTTAGTATTCGTAAGAAAACTTATTTAGGTAAGTTAAATAGTATATTTTATAAATGTATTATTAAGCTCAATTTACGAATTTTAACGCTTTTACGCATTCACAAAGAAGTACTAGAGTTGAATTAAATATTACATTTTGATTTCAGTGTGAGGTGATTCCTTTGCGAAAGTACATAGTAATTTTTCAGAAAGAGATAGTATGTAGTAATTTCTTAGTTTTTGTGAAAGTACGTCGTTATTTCTTTAGAATTAAATTAAATAGTATATTATATGAATACGTTAATAAGCTAAATTTACGAATTTTAGCGGTTTTATGTATTTCAAAGGCAATATTCGAATTAAATTTTGGTTTTAAGTGTGAAATGAAATTCTTTATAAAGAGTGTACGTTGTGAAATTTGATTTTTAAGTTTTTAAGAACTATATTTTGGTAATGAATTATAAAGAATAAAAAAATAACAATTCACATTTTTTTTAAATAAAAATTTCAGTTGAAGCAGTTATATTATCCCTTGAAATAGGCTTTTAATGTGGTTGTGTTGAAGCAATTTTTTGAACAATTTAATTTATACATTTCTTAATGTAATTTCAGGCGGGAGGCTTTCTGTTGCCTTTTGTCGTGAATGGTGGTTTTCTTGTATGTGGGAGTTTCGTTTTAGCCTTCTTATTACCAAAAATAGGTAAGTTATTCTTTTGATGTAATTTCATGTTTTTTAAATATTATTTTTTCATGAATGGTATTTTGTTATATAAAGAATATAAGGTATTGTGCGTGATTCTTAACTATTTACACTCTAATTCTTCGTCAATTTTGGCAAATTGTGCGTTGTTAAATTAACTCAAAATTTTGTAAGTGATTTTGAGTTTTTAAATTCAAATTTAAAATTTTAGATTAAATCCAGATTTATGTCCGTGAGTCATTCAATGATAGGATAATATATTATTTTCATAAATCATACCTGATTTTTATTGTGCTAGATACTCTTTCCAAAATTTTAGTGGATAATTATAAGAATAACTAGTGAAAATATAAGGCAATATATGTGTAGATATATAATGCCAATGCAGTTTCAAAAATGTTGCGAAGCATCGTTTCATTTTGTTTAAGTTTGAAAAAGCAATGTAACAGTAACTAAATTGTACATAAATTGAACTTTGGTGCAGATTGGGCTTAGATTTTTAGGTGTTAATCTAAATAAAGGAAGCTATTAATTAATATGCGAATCAGTGAATATATAAATAAATCACAGTATCAATAAATGATCAAGCTTTTAACATTTCCAATCCATAAATGGACAAATTAATTAATCAGCAAAAGAAAAAAAAAATCAGAATCTGAATGAATTAGCAATAAAAAAAAACAATGAATAGGCGAATGAAGGTAAGGGTACATTTCTAAATAAGCACATTAATGATTTTGTGTATCAACGAATAATTAGAGAATTAGAAATCACCGGATCAATAAATGAGCAAATAAATAAATTTAGCTCGTCAATGAACCGATGAAATAGTGAATCAGTTAGCAATTAAGAGAATCCCTGAATGAAATATCAACGATTCAGCAAAATAAGAAGTCAAAAAATCAAGAAATCTACAAATCAGTGGTTTTACAAATCAATGAACCTGGGAATTAACGAGTTATTAAGTCAGTAAGGCGAAGAATCGCTGTTCCTTGATTTGCTCTTACGGGTATTCTCTCATTTACGGATTGATTTATTCATTTGTTCATTAGATCTTTCATTGATTTACTAATGTGCTAATTCTTGATCTGTTGAGCAACCGATATAGACTTCAATTATTATGCTCATTTATTCATTCGCTGATTTATTGACTTTTTAAGTTTTTATTTGCTTTTCCTTGTTGCTTATTGACTTTTTGATTCACTTCTCATAGATTCACTGCTTTATTAGTTTTTATCATTCACTAATTCAATCTTAGTATTGCTTTTGTAGTTCGTTTAATTTCATTTATATGTGTTATAAGATAAGGTGATATGTGAAAGTTTGAGTAAATAACCAACATAAATTTTTATTTTGGGTCTTTTCTAGCCTCCGGAGTAAAAGGAGGAAATTACAGGTGAAAATAGACACTGTGAATTTTTGTAAAATAAACTACACGTACAAACAAATGGCTGTTATATTTGATTACAAATACTGAGTTAATTGCATGCAAGAATTTTCAAAACTGATATGAAGGGGGGTGATTACATTGCACTCTGTATTGGATAATTTTTGCTACATTTTATTTTTTAAATATGCATCTTTTATTTATAGAGGATACAGAGCGACACGAAGGTTCTCGTAATCTGTGGGCTTTCTTATTTGATGGTGGAATCATCTCTTTCACATTGTCTATAATATCTTCATTATTATTCATTGGATTTAACGCTGCAACATTAGAACCGCATCTAAGACAAGTATAAATTCTTATTGTTTCTGCATTCCTTATAACAGAAGAATATAATAAATAGCGACAGTATTTAAAATTTGGTTACAATGGTGTTAATTAAGTTAATTTTGAATTCTATTGATACTTATGTTTTGTAGACTGAATATTAACTACTAATGAAAAATACATTTCCAATTAAGCATTAGTAAAAAAACATTTCCAGTTTTCTAACTTTTTAACCCCTTCGAAGGCCGTGGTAAGTATACTTACCACCAATTTTTAAAGCCCATGGTGAACTTTTTTACCACTTACAATTTAATTTTCCATTTGTTAATAACTTAAGCTTTCTTGAAGTGCTTTTGAATAAAATTGGTAGTTTAAGAAAACGTATAAAAGTATAAGTTTGTAGCATTTATAAAATTTATTTTATAAATAACGAAAAATAAAAGTCAATAACGAAAAATAAAAGTCAATAGGACGTGGTAAATAATACTTACTACCAAAAAAAAATGGCATTAAAATTTAGTTTTTTTTTCTAACCCTTTTGAAGGCTGTGGTAAGTATACTTACCACCAATTTTTAAAGCCTGTGGTGAACTTTTTAACCACTTTTAATTTAGGTTTCTATTTGTTAATAACTTTAGCTTTCTTGAAGTGCTTTTGAATAAAATATGTAGCTTAAGGAAACGTATAAAAGTATAAGTTTGTAGCATTTATAAAATTTATTTTATAAATAACGAAAAATAAAAGTCAATAAGCTTCTAATAGACTGTAGTAAATATTCTTACTACCAAAAAAATGGCATTAAAATTTAGATTTTTTTAGTAAACTAAATGAGTTTTTGTTTCTTATCAATTACTATTCTTATATCAATTTCAATTCCAAAAATACTTTAATTTACCTTTAGTAGAAATAAATGACCCATTAAAGGGTTAATATTTGATTGAGTTTCTGGACTTCATGTAAGCTTAAATAATAACTTAATGGGTAAAACTATTGGCATGATCGTCATGCTATTTGGACTAATCGCTATATCATGTACATGAAAAAGTCGTTTTGTTGCAATAATATTTTATGAAAACTTAATAAAATACTGTGCAATGTTTGAAAAAAAAAATTATGAATAGATAAATATTAGGTTTTAACTGTTTTACCTAATTATTTTATGTTTAAACGATTGCGCTGTTATATTTGGGAAAGCATCAGAATACTAGATTTAAATATCTTTTACAGAGTAAAGTATAACTTACTTATTATTGCTGTCATGTATGGGTAGTAAAGTAATTGTCCGATTGAAACTTTAGCCGATTATTTTATTTTGAAGCTTCTAAAAATAATTAAAATAATTTCTTTTGATGTTACATTAGTTCAGTTAATGCCATAAATGGCCTATAATGTAATTCTAGTATAATTCTAGTAAATCTAGTATAATTCCTATAATGTAGCCTATAATGTAATTCCATAAAATGTAATTCTAGGACAAAAAAATTTTGTTGATATTCTTAGAAGAATTTTGCAATCGTTTATGTTCTAGTCAGAAATTTTAAATCACTCTAAAACTTTTATCATGAATTAAATAAATTTAAATAGTTTCACGTTTCGGTTTGTATTTTGAGCAATACTATGTGTCTTTCAGAACGATAATAGTTTCTCTCTAGAGAATTTTTAAAGCTTTGCATCGAAATTTATTTTATTTTGATAGTTTCAAAACTTATTTAATAAAATGTGATTTATTTTCAGTTTAATCTAGCGCCAGTTATATTAGGTGTTATTTTTGTTATTACTGGAGGAATTTACGCCATAACCACACCAATATGGGGGAAAATTTGTGATATCGGGGTAAGTTTATTATTTTTTGTTAAAAGCAAAAATAATGCTTTGCTTTCTTTAAGGATATTAAATCATTAACTTTCTTAGTTACCTTTTCATTTAATATTTACTGACCATTAGATTTAGAAAATTTTCAAATAAAGTTATTTATTCCAGTTTCATTAGATTATTCATATTTAAAACATATATTTCAATACAGAAAATAAAATGTAATTTTCGAAAAACGTAACAAACTTCAAAAAAAAAAATTCTACTAATTATCTTTACTAGAGACTTTATTTTGAGGACCTAAATATGCCGAAAAACTTAACTAAAAAAGTTTCTTATTAAAAAAATTCTTTCCTAGACATACATATATCAAATGATTGTGTTAAAGCTCTTAGATTTATTATTGTGAAGTTCTTATGTCAGTTTATTATATTAAAGTATAGAATAGTTTATTAAAGAATAGTTTATTATATTAAAGTTCTTTAAAATTATTGCATTAAAGTTCTAATAAATAATTACATTAAAGTTCTTACATTATTAGAACTATAATACAATTATTTATTATCTTGCAAATAATAGTATTAAAGTTCTTATACTAAGAGAATTCGAGTTGTAATTTTCATAAAAGGGTTATAAATGCTAAGCGCTGAAAGAATAAAATTATAGATATATTAAAAAATATACGTATACCGACACTGATTTTCTAATATACATAAACAGAATTTTAATATGAAATTCAAAAATATTGGAAAAATTCCAAATTTAAAAGAAAACAAACTTTAAATTATAAAAATGTACTTTAAAATAAACAAATAATCAAATCTCAAAAGTGGCATAAAAACAAAAAATGAAACAAATCATAAAAAAATATAAAAATGTAAATATATACATTAATAAAATTGCAAATGTCATTTAAATCGTGTTACAAGAGTGTGTTTTACTGAAAATAAAGTCCAAAGTGTTTTAATAAGGTGTATCGTTTTTTGTGGTAGTGATAAAACTTTGTTGCATTCCTGTATTATGAATAAAGTGTTTTCTTCTTGAGGAAATCAACTCATCGCGGAAAGTTTTATTAAATTTTATGTGTTAAATATACAAATTAAAGGCTATAAAGATAGCGATGTACAATACACATGGTGACAAATGTATGAAAGTAGTCAGATCTCGAGAAATACGCACTGGAAAAAATATGTATGCAGAATATTTTGAGAAACATGCATTCAATCATAAATTTATACTAATTTGACGCTTCAATTTAAGCGTCATGGATGTGTTGGGATCTCGGGTAGGAACCCCAAGTTTTATACCAGAAAAAGTACCCCAATTTGATACAGAGGTTGCTGCAATTTAGGCCGTAGGTGACGATATAGTTGCAAAGCAAAATGAAGTTGGCGTGAAAATTTAATTTTTTTACTGTCGCTGAACAGTTGACCCAATTTTGCATTAACGACTACCAATGTTCAACTCCGTAGTCTTGTAATTTTGAACTCAATACAGAAGACAAGAAAATTCCTGGATCAAGTATTGAAAGATATTTGCCTGCGTGGAGGATTTTTTGATGGAACTGACCCGTATTTGCCTTATATGGAGAGGAAAACCATGAAAACTACCATCACACACGTGTATTTTTAGATTTTTGATGCAATGTGTATCTATTATATGAACTTTTTCTAACATTTTAAAAACTTTATGCGTTGGCTTTACGATTTAAAGGTTGTTGTTGTTAATTTACGTCGCACTAGAGCTGCACAATGGGCTATTGGCGACGGTCTGGGAAACATCCCTGATGATGAGCTTCTCACGAATCCTCACAATTTTGATCCTCTGCGGAGGGGATGGCACCCCCGCTTCGGTAGCCCGACGACCTGCGCGCGAAGTCGAGCACTTTACGGTAGCACAGTTTAACGAGGACCAATACCGCACACCCTCGGTCCCTACGCAGACTGATCCAAGTGGTCACCCACCCGCACACTGACCGCAGCCAGTGATGCTTGACTTCGGTGATCTGCTGGGAACCGTGTCTTAACGATCAGTCCACTGCGGGACTACGATTCAAAGGAAAATGTAATTAAACTTATTGTATTTAATAGGTCAACCCTCTAGTAATTGGCATTGGTGGATATTGCATGAGTGTTGTTGGCATTTTGTTTATTGGTCCAGTTCCTTTTATTCCTTTTAAGCCGTAAGTAAATTTTTTAACTTATCATTTATCATTATTTTTTTAGGTAAATTATTTTAAATGTATCGTTTTAAGTATAGGCGCATTGAATTCATTATGTTACCTGCTTTTATTGATGCCGAGTATTTAATCTAACACAATTAAGTTTTGTATAGTAAGAGCAAAAAAAAATTAAAAAAAATCAGACCTTCCGGAGTAACTTTTGATCTAATGATCGGATCTTCACATTCTAGGACTCTATCTTAAAGAGTTAAGGGGGTGACCTCAAATATGCTCAATAACTTGTGCAGCCGGCAGACGATATCGACAAAATTAAATTAGACTCAAAAACGTACTTTCTCTGAACAAAGTTTTTTTTCTATGGATTCGGAATTTTGACTTTAAACTTTAGGGGGTCGTCACAATCAAGGGAAATATGGTCCCAATAGTTTGATCAGGAGAGTGTTTCGAAGTTACGACCCTTTATTCGTAATTTAAATTTTTGCTTATTTCGCCATAATTCGAATTTTTAAGCGAATTGAAAAATATTTGCACACAATTATAAAATTCGTTTATCCGAAGATAATTCCTTGAAAAATATAAATTTATGTAATTATTTTTTATTTTGTTTTATTAATATTTGAAAAATTTTAAGGTATAAAGTTTTCTCATAAATTTAGGGAATGCAATTTTTAATGATAAAATGTAAAAATTGGACAAATCGGTCGAATGGTTCCTGAAAAATCAAATTTTCAAAATTACTTTTTAAAAATTTGATTTCTCCGAAAGAAATTCGAACAATTTCGTTCACATTTTATATTTTACCATTCAAAATGCAACGAATTGTACCTCACAATTCAGGATTTTCTTAACTATCATTAAATAAAGTAATAAAAATAATAAATATTTACTAATAGTTATATTTTGTAAGGAATTATCTTTGGATAAACGAATTTTATAGTTGTGTGCAAAAACACTTCGATTCGCTTAAAAAGTTCTCGAGTTATGGCAAAATACGCAAAAATTTAAATTAAGAATAAAAAGTCGAAATTCTGAACAGCTCTCCCGATCAAATTATTGGGACCATATTTCCCTTGATTGTGGCTACCCCCTATATTTTGGAAGTCGAAACTCCAAATCCATCGGAAAAAAGGTTCGTTAGTTCAGAGAAAGTACGTTTTTGCGTCTGATTTAATATTGTCTGTATCGTCTACCGTCTACACTAATTAATCAGCATATTTGAGGTCACCTCCTTAACCCTTTAAGATTGAGTACTAGAATGCGAAGATCCGATCATTAGATCAAAAGTTATTCAGGCTGGCCCGTTTTGCATTTCGCGCACTGTACGTACCGCTCTTACTAGATATGAAAACTATTCGCAAATAAAGTATCTCTTATGCAAGCTATAACTCAATACATATCCTAGTTGCTTCAAAGCATAATCATTAAAAAATATTTATATTCTTTTTAAAATGATTTAAAAGCTTATTCATTAAGTGCGTGTAAGTGGAATTTATTATTTTTTTTATCTTAGTATGCATAAAACAGATGCGTGTTTAATTATTACTATTTAAATACAAGGTGATAAATATTTTCTTGGATTGATATTTAATACAAAAAAATGTCTAGACTAATGTCTAATGTCTAAATGTAATAAAAATGGCAAATAAACATATTTCGTTTTGAACTCGGTCCAAGTTATTTCTCAATAACCTGAAAGGCTAATTATACTTCTATCACGAGAAACCTTATATCATTGAAGGCGAAAAATAGGGGATTTATGTAGTTGAACTCTTAGAACAAGCCACCAAAATGGCTAATAGTCAGTTTCGAAAGGCTACGAAAAAAGGAGTTCTTCCTAATGAGTTTCTCATTTTGCAATCAAACTGCATAACAATATGAAAAACAAAATGAATGTCTTAACAGATTCTAGATTCCAATTGTATCAGATATTCAATTTTCTGGGAAAAATCAAGCGGCTTTTCAAAAAGTAACATATTTCCCTCTAAGTTATGAATATTTATAAATTTTGACGCTGTTGTTTGGTTTTTTTTTTCATTACATAAAAAAGTAAAAACACATGGCTCAAATTCGAAATAAATGTGAAATTCAAAAAAATGCAAATACAAAAAAAAAGAAGAGTTTTGATTAATTTTGCGCAAATTTATGATTGATACAATCCGAATTATTTTTTAAAGATTTATATTCACCTTGTTTATATAAATTTGTCCGTTAATATAAAGTGATATATTTTAAAGGGATTAATATTTGCGTTATAGTTATGATTTATGATTTTCAATTGTTTTTTTAGAACCTTGTGGACTGTAATTGGAAGCCTTGTAGTTGTGGGTTTGGGGCTGTCAGCGAAATTAGTATCATCATTTATAGGAGCTCTTAAAAATGTGATGTAAGTATATGGTTAAAGATTATATTTAAAGATTAATATAATTTTTATTAGCACTGGAAGGGCCGGGATAGCCTGGTCGGTAGGGCACTGGGCCCATGTCCGAGAGTTCGTGGATTCGAACGCCGCCGGCCGAAGACTGCCCGTGTAGTAAATGGTGACTGATGCACGTTAAATCTGTCGAGTCGCAAAGTCCTCCATGTTCCCATAACAGATTAATGCCTTTGGGGGTACTGGATTGGAGATCGATCGTGCTCTGATTCAGGTCAAAATTGCGATCTGTTGATGAGTGAATGGATGTATGAATGGGTTCGCCCTATACAACTGATGTGACGTATGGTGTGGCAGAAGTCGAATTCTTGGCTATAGATGGCACTATTGGAAAACAAGAACAATCGCACCCCTCTGCCTAAACAGACATACGAAAGCAAGCAAGCAAGCATTAGCACTGGAAGTAAACTTGCTTGTTAAATATTACATGTTACATTTTTTTATATCAATCATCGTAAAAATGGTTAGATTGTATACGAATAGCATAACTGCTTTAAAATTAATAAGAACTTTACTAGTTTATAAAGAGCTGAAAAATGTGACTTTTCAGGAATTGATTTGAATAACATTTTTAATATTTTTCGATTAGAGATTTATTTTTCCAGCCACCTTTCAAGATATTAGTTTTTATTGGCTTAAATTTGTTTCTAATTTTGTCATACAAATAAAGAAAAGAAGTAAGAAAAATCAAAAATAAATAAGTTAGTTTCACTATTTAAAAAAAATTAGTTTGACAGAAATCAGTCTGCATTTTTAGAATATTTAGTATAAGTTTTAGCTCATATTGAATATAATTATTTTGAAATAAATTTATGACCAAAGCTACTAATCCTATTAGCCACGTAAACTGATGCAAATAAGTATTTCCAAAAAGCAGTCGCAAAATTGTTTGGTGCAATATATTTGATACCGGCTATTCGCCTTTCTCTGCATTATATTTTTCTTTAATGGTATAAAAATAAAATGTGTAAGTGTCTAGACCTCCACGGCTTCAAGGTCATCTTCCTTCTGTCAATCCATTTTTTTCCTTTTTGTTATAAACTTATTTGTAATAGAGTATGGTCTGCTTAGCTAGATTATATATCACCGTTACATAGGCGCATCCGGCTGCTATGTCAAGAGCTCTACGGCAGAGGAACATATTTGCAACACTTGCACGAAGTGTTGCAACTATGATCCAGATGAGTTAAATAATATTAGTTGATAAATTTATTTATTTATTCAAAGTAAAGTTAGTTATTCGAAGCATTCCCCGAAAAGTTTTTATTCCCGAAGACATGAAAATGTCAACTTTTTGCAATAACTCTTGAAATATTCCTGAATAACGATATTTAAATCTTTTAACAATATCTGAAGCATCCCAAACACGTTTTAGGTTCTATGTCATGAATGAGAAGCATTGAGCTGTGTGAGAGATAGTGTTAAAACGTCACTCATAAATATTTTTAGAGATTTTATTATGACGGCATCTACTACTGAAATGTGGGGCATAACAAAGGGAGCAAAAAAGTTATCTACGCAGTTAATCGGAAAAGAAAGACATTTTATGCAAGGAAAGCATTCTGTATGAATTTTATAGAGATTGCGATCCTGCTACATGAAAAGCTAACAATCAAATTACTTAACCGAATTTTTGTTTACATTTTATATCAAGGACACATTTAATAAAATTTAAAAAAATGGACTTTGCTTTCAAGCTTATAGCAGACTTATTGCTAAGAAATAAAACGAAGTAAAATAAAAATGCGAAAAATCGAAATTGTTGATTTTGAAAATTTAGAGTTCTTCGTTAACAAAATTACCTTACCAATATCGAAATTCATATTCACCCGATTTTAATATCAGTAATCGATTTTCGTATTTGCATGATATAAAAATTATGCATTGCTATTCGTATACACTCAAAATGTTTAATTTTACATTTAAAAATACATTTACACATACATTTAAAAATTACATATCACGATTCAACTTCACGTGACTTAAAACTTAAACATCGTAATTTATATTCACCTAATTTATTTTTTACGAGTTTACAAAACCAATTTATGGATAAAAAGCAAAGGAAGAAAAATTTTTGTATCCTAATTATAATTCAAAACGTATTTGTAACATTTAAATTCTATGTTCACACGTATATTTTAAAAATTACTTTTAAAAAATTTTAAATTGTTTCCCAGAAGCTATTCTTATTTTTATCATTCAAGAATTTCTTTATCTGCGTCTAAGAATTGTAATCTCAATAATCAGTTATGAAATGTGAATTTCTTAGTTTTCGAAAACTTAAGTGTACAATATTAAAGAGAATGCTTCAAAGTTTTTTTAGATTAGATATTATATAAAATCGTAAATTCGGTAATACTTTTTCATGAGGATGAAAAATAATTTTATTAGTATTTTTTTTAAATATTTTTATCATTGTAAATAATTAAGTGAAAACGCTTTTTGTTTTATATCGTACCTTAGACTTTCAATATATTGAAAGTTTAGTCCATTTTTATTATCAGTATAGAAGGCACTGGCAAGATATGGGTTGATTTTAAATTAAGAGTAAAGAAAAACTGTCACAAACTCGCTACAGTTATAGAAATAACTTGTTATTCATTAAAAGGGTTATGATATAATATATTTATGACGCTAGATATCTAAAAAACAGCTTCAAAAGGAATTATACTAACTTTAATTTTGTAATAATTATTTCAGACATAGAGGATTTCCTGATAACCTTGCTACCTATGGAATGGTTTCTGCACTATTTTCAACAGCTTGTTCAACAGGGTAATTACTTTGTTTTTACATTTCATTGACGATTGTAATAATTATGAGACTGTCCATGAATGATGTCATACTTAGGCTACATGATATTGTGGCTTAGTGAGAGAAGGAGGAGATAACAAGAAGTGTGGCATTCTACATTTTAGTTGAAATTAAAAAAATTTAAAAATCAGTAAAATGAATATTAAAATTTTTTTGTCTTACGTTTGTTTCAATAATATAAATATGCTGTTTTCCTTCTCACGATTTAATGATATTTTCGCTAGTTTCATTGATTATTGAATCGAATAATATCGATGTTGATTAAGGTTTAAATTAATATACTCATGGTAAACCTAATCTCATATAAATGTTTATAGTACGATATGAAATGTTCCTCTAGAAAATCGTTTGCAGTAATATAATCTTGTTAAAAAAAAGGTACACTTAGCATAGTAAAAATATAAGAAGAGTAATGATTAATTATGAATTTTATAAGAAAGAAAAATTTAAATTCAAACTTATGATTGAACTTTATCTAGTGATGCTTGTCTGCTACCAAACTAACCTTTAATTTCAGTTTCAGCATGGTGTGGCCTGGGTAAAAAAGTAACAGTGTTGAGCAAATATCGTATTATAATGGTTTGACATGCAGTATTACACATTGTTTTAGATATTGTTTTTCAGATTTGCAGCACCATCTATTGACAAACTTTAACTTTTTGAAATAAAGGTTAGAATATGTAAGCTGGTTTCCTAATCAAAACGCAGCAAATCCCACATATCTTTTTCTTTGAGAAACTCGATATTAAATTCTTCACGTTGCATGTAGAGATCTTTCTGAGTTGATATAATTTAATAGTTGATATATTATTTACAACCAGCGTTTTATTTTTATTTATATATATTTATTCTGTTTTTTAATTCATCATGAATCTTTCATTATGTAGAGCATTCATAGGCCCATCTCTGGGAGGTTTCCTATTAGATACCACAGGATATAGAATGGGAACTGTTGTAATACTTTCATTAGAAATATTTTTCGTAAGTATAAATTTTTTGTTTTTATGGGTGAATTCCAGACTAAAATAAAGTATTTGCACTTAACAAATTAATTTTACATATGCTAATTAATATTTCAAAGAATTTGTGAAACTTGAATGCAAGAAAGAAATTATTTATTTTTTATATTTTTACGGGTGATCAGGTCTTACTTCTTTATGCAATAGCTTTGACATAAATTCATTGTATTTTCGCCCAACTTAGGGAAATTATTATGTAAAATTAAGTAAATTATGGAATGCACATTCATAAAGCTATAAAAGGTAATCTTAGCTGGGAAATTATACTATTTTTTTATTTATGAAACAATTTATGCGAAGAAAATTATTTTGACCGATAATATATATATTCAAAATAATAATGAATATTAATAAGTAATAATAAATGATGGTTGGTAAATATTGTACACAAAAGTGCACAAAATATTTCAGTAATTTAAATATTCAGTAAATTTAATATTTCAAAATATTTCAGTATTTCACAAACTTTTCATAAACACTGAAAAATACTGTTTTTTAAAATGTTTATCATGTAAATGCTTGTTTCAAAAATTTATTTTTTAATTATAATTTTTAAGGACAAATCTAAGATAATTAAGAACATTTTGATAAAACATAATTTTTTCCGCTTTGAATATACACTAATAATAAAAATTTTGTCTAACAAATCCCTTCACGAGGAACTTTTTCGTGTTTAAAATATAAAAATTGGATTAAATTGAAATTGTGGAATATTTTGACCTTCTAAATGTTAAAAGAATGTTGAGAAATTTCAAGTTAAAAGTTTAATACAAGAACAATTAAACGCTGGCATGTTTTTTCTTTATTAACAAAAACTAATAAATAAGAAGCATGTATTGTTGTATGGTATACCTTAAATAAAATTTAAATGTTTTCGCTCTCGGACACTCTAACTTCTCTCCTTTCGGCTTACAATTTCAAGTTTATTATTTGTTTTGTTAGAAACTATAAAAAATCAACAACCTAAAAATTGTTGAAAACTGAGGGAGTTAATCATATTTGAAAAGAAAATTTTAAATTATTACAGACTTTCAATGTAACAAAATATACATTAAGAACTATTTGTTCAAAAGATATTAAAAAATTTTACATATATTTTATTACTATGCATTCATCAAATTATTAAATTTTAGTTAATATGAAGTTTTGATAAAAAATTTTAATTGATTCAGCTCTCTGAAACAAATTAAGTACTTGAGATAATGTTAAGCTTGAATAATTCCCTTAATATTTAAAGGGCAAGTGTTTAGAAATAAATTAATTATTGAAGAAAGAATATTTAGCTTACAGAAATCAAATGGTTTTAAAGGAATTTTTAGCTTATTAAAGGCAATTAAATATTTAAGGTGAATTATCTTAAACAATGCTAAAAACGTTTTTTTTTACTCAAAATATTCAATATTAAAATGTTTTGCTCTTTTTTAGATGGTAATTCTCGTTACATACGTTGTTTATTCAAATATAAAAAAAAGAAATGCTGAAAGAGATGAATGTGAACGAGAACCATTGATGACTTCATCTGTTACACGAAGATCATACAGTTATTCCTCAGTTTAGGCAAACTCTAGTAATTTTTATAGCTCAAATCTGTACAGTATTTTCATAACTGTCATGAATTAGTACTATTATAATCATGAACTCATTAAATGTACAGATCGATACAAAAACAAAATGTCTTTAAAATAGTTTTTTCTTCTGATATTGTACTTTTCAAGAGTTATGAAAATTTAAATATGAGAGGAGCATATATACTAATGAGAACTATACGTATATATTCATCTATTATTGCAATTTTCTTTTTTATGTGTTTAATGATCGTGTACATAATTCATTAAAATACCTGTATTGAAATAATTGACCTACTTAACGAGATCTTCTGGTTTTGTCTATAAAAGTTTTTTGATAAAGTTTGAGGTTTAAATTTTGTTAAGCACTATATTTGCTATTTATCTTTCGATTAGGCGTTCCATAAAGGTGATCGGTAATCACTTCTATCTTTTATAGTCTCATAAAATTATTAAAACAATAACCAGTGGTCTCAAAAAAAGTTATTAAAATTTGACGGATTATCATCGTGGTCTATATCAATGATTGTTGGATTGAATTTAGTGAAATCATTTTGGTTGTTTTATGAAACTTATAAAAGTATCTAATATTTTTGTTGTTGTCTGATTTGACCAATTTTGTTTCATTAGATGATAAAACTGGTTTTTATGCTTTTAATCTGCTTTCATTGCTATAGATTACGATAATGATTTATCATTTTTTAAAATTTTTATATTTTATTTTGTAATTCAAATTTAATCAACGTAAGTGTAACATTGTTTGACTTCATTATTGACAAGGATTGTAGAAATTTATACGAAGGGCAATAATTTCAAAATAATGTTTAGATTATAAAAACTTAAAAAGAAAATTTTTACGCAAAATTTATGTTTCTTTCAATTTTTGCGAGAGAAAATATTTTAGAGATATTGTTAACCATGTTTTTAGAGGCATTATTCGCATAACTTTGATAAAGCATTGATTTTCATAAGTATTTGATCATTTTTCTTATTGATTGGTGCATTTTAAAAGTTTGGCTGAACTAGTTAACGATATACAAAATGTATATTTTTATACAAAGATTTGGTAGCTTTCAATTATTCTTAATAGTTGTATAAACACATCAGTACTTTTGTATATGTAATAATTAAAGTGATAATTAACAATTCTTATCATACGTTGTAGAACAAACATTCAGAAGATATTGAACAGTTTTTCTGTGATAGAAATGGAAAAAAACTTATTTTTTATATTTTGTACTTAGAGTCAATATTTTAATCTGATTGTTATAAGTAATAAAATTATTTTATATTATTTTTATCTTGGATTCTTAAACCAAAGTGGTATGAATAAATAAGTCTCATATTTCATAAATAAATAAATTTTTTACCTAATTGTGCAATTTTGCCTTATTCTTAGTTTTTTAAGCGAACTAATAAGATGAAAATTTCATGAAATGAGTTTACATTTTTTCCATAGCTGCAATTTTGAAAGTTGCATTTTATTACAAAAACCGAAAATGAAGTGCGTATAATAATATTTTATTTTTATGTGTTTAAACAAAAATGTTAAAATGGACTTTTGACCAAAAAAGTTAAGTCTTTTCACAAATAAATTTAATATTTCATGGGAACTCAATAGGAACTGTTGGAATTCAACAATATTTGATCAAAAAGATGGAAAACGATTATAGAATTTTACAAAAGTTACCCTCTTAAACACTAAAATTTCGAAACGTTAAAATATTGAATTCACAAGAGCTGCGCTTCTATTTGCTGAATTTTTAATAAAACGCATTTATGCACACAGACTTTTTAATATTGTGACTCGTACCTTTTTATATTCCGAGACCATATATCAGATATTTTGATTCATTTAAAATTTGTATTAGGCATTATATGCTCTAGGGGAGCTGGAACACATTATTGCAGTGGTTCGATACTTTTTTAGGAGCCGTTATTTTAGTTTGGCTAAGTATTTGGCATAATCAGAATATTCCAATAATGCTTTAAATAGACAGAAAAAATCATTCTTAGGCGATATACTGCTATATTTTCGTAAGTAGAATTAAAGTTTACATTAAGAGGCTCATACCTCCGACTATTCTTATATCTAAAGTTTTGGAACAGTATTTTGCAGATGGCTAGCTCCCTTCCATTGAGGATCATATTGCATCAAAAAAACTTTATTTAACATGTTGACTGCAGCACGTGTTTACAGTGAAATCTCCTTCAGACCATGAGTACTGCTGTATGAAGCATATTCTGCTGAGTACACACACCGCCGTTTGTTTCCATGGTATCATGTCTGTTCATTTGTGTCCGTTACTTCGCATCTGTTTCTCATCTCACCACTTTGCATGATCTTTGCCGTGTAAAGAGGAGTATAACTCAAAATCTTTACCCTAATGTGCTGAAATTTTGAAAAGAAAATATGGAAAACTTATTTCTTAGAGAGTCAAATAGCAGTGAACAAGAAAGCTTTCACGAGGCTCACAATAATTTTCTTAATAAATAATTGTTGCATTAATTTTATAACAATTCAATAGTTTTGTTACTTCTTGTGAAATATCTTTTCAAATGCATCCGAATATCCTTCGCAAGTAGTTGAATAAGCGTCACCCCCATATGGGTGACGCGTCCCGATCAGAAACTTTCCTGGTACTCGAATATGGGTGACACCGCTGGATCAGAAACTTTGATGTCACCCGAATATGGGTGACGTGGCAGTCAACGTGTTAAAGTGAGTTTTTGTATTTGAAAGTTTACTAAAAATATTGACTGCATTAATTAATTTGTACGTTTTGAGATCCAACCTACGAAAAATGAAGATGAAATCTTAGTGCGTGGAAATCCATTCATTAAAAAAATTTCAATTAGGTGTTTATTTTTTTATTTAATTTTTACTTTGCATGCTGTGCTAAGCAGGTCAGGGATTTAAGTAATAAGTGAAAATACTGCTTTTCTAATGTGAGCGTGACTCTGTCCTTAGACTTTAACGATTGTTTGAGAGAGTTTAAAACAAAGCTTCCCAATCTTTTTTTCCGTCAAGGACCGGTTATAGTTAGACAATTTTACCGCAACCTGCTGAGGGTTGCGGTGTAGCGTGAGTGGATGTAGATTGTTAATATTGTAGACGTTTTTTTTTTAATAATTTTAATTTATTTTCATTTAAACTTTAGATTTATTTGCATTTGAACAACAAAATAAACTTCTATGCACGGTATTGGAGCGGCTTTAGATGACGTTTATCAGCTCCCAGTTAACCACACAACGCAGTATTACAGCACAGTAAATAAAATGGAAATAATTTAGTATTACATGAGTGGCCCGTTAGCGATTTTAGATTCCAGATGGCGTTTAACGACTCGCTCTTCTGTTTGGAATTTTCCTACATAAGTTTAAAAAAACCTTGACTTTATTTCGATTTTTTTTCTTGACTTTATTTCTATTTTAGATTATAAAGTTTAAAAGAAATAAATCTTGTATCATAATTGATAGCAGCTACAACCAAAAGAAAACTCTTTAAGCAAGAGAACGAGTCGTTAAAAGTCGCTAGATTGTAAATTAGCGACCCGGTACCGCTCGCGGCCTTTGGAAGAGAGGGACAAAAAGTAGTTTTTGCCTGTCACAGTGAAGATTTTAGGATTACAAAGATAAAAAGGTGTCCAGCAATTCTTAAGAGGTAAAATATTGTGATAAAGTAATTGTGGCTAAACGTTCTGTAGTATGAAAAATAGTACACATTTAATAAATTTTGATCTAATGATCCGATATTCTAATTTTAAAAGGCGACTTTAATGTTTCGAGGGCTTAACTTTCAATATACAAATTAAAATTTTGTAAGTATTTTAAGTTGCAAAATGAGACACAAAAGTAATATTTTTATAAATAAAAATTCCTTTTTTAACGGATATGAATTCTTGATCACAAAATATGGGGGGGGGGGGGNGAAATAAAACTTCGGATTGCGGACACAAAAAAAATTAAATTTAGAATAAGGGGCCCAAGCTTTCAACCACCTTCTTGCCTAAAGTATTGGGATCATATTTTCAAGTTTGTGACTATCCCATCCTATATTTTGTGGGTCAAGAATTCTAATTTATTTTATAAAAAGAAAGTTTATTCAGAAAAAGTACGTTTTTGTGTCTGATTTTGTAACTATAATCTGTCCAAATATTATTTTAAGATACAATTTTTAAAACCGAATCCTTATCCCTAGGGAAGTATAACCCAATTTCTAACTGAAACGTACTGCGTGTGGGTAAAAAGCAAGATTTGTTAAAACCATGGTAAAGGGAGGGATAAATTGTATAAAATGGAGATATCGCGTAACATTGAAATGCCTATTATATTTACAAAGCGTATAGCATATTAAAGGGTAGGTCTTTCCACCATTAGAATTGAGCCTTAGTATATGTGGAAATACGATCATAAATTATTAAAAGTGCTAGCTTTTTTGAATTACACATTGCATAGCGAGTGAGAAAGACACCCTGAATAATTTTTGATAGAGACCTGATTTTTACGCTATAGGACGCAATCATAATAGTTCGAAAGCAGACCTGAAATATGCTAATTAGTCAGTGCAGACGATATTTTAAGTCATAAAGTCAGACACCAAAAATTTCAGGCCCCAGTTCTTTCTCTCAATAAATATACCTTTTTTTTTGATTGATTATTTTGACTTGATCCACAAAATTTCAGGAGCAGCCGCAATCTCGAAAATTAGATCTTAATAGTTTGGTAAAAAGAACGGTCTTAAGTTTGGACCCTTTGACGTTAATTTTACTTTTTGCGTATTTCGCGATATCACAAAAATTTCTTAAAGGAGCCAAAAAAGTTTTACAGACAATTATAAAATTCGTTTTTCCGTAGCTAATTCAATGCAAGGAATAATCTTTAGTAACTATTTATCGCTCCTTTTTTATTTCATTTAATAGTAGTTGAACGAAAATTGAATTTTTAGGTCCACAAATTTTTACATCATTTTGAAGGATCTAGTTTTGTATAACAAAATACAAAATTTAAGCGAAATAGATCGAATAGTTCTTTATTTTGATCAAATTTAGTATTTTTCGATATAAAACTACATTAAAATTTAAAATTTTGTAAAAGTTTGCAAACTTTGAACTTTATAAATTTTTCAATTATTTAAAAATAAAATAATAAGAAATAATAAATAATTATTGAAACTTTCTTTTGTGAGAAATTATCTTTTTGTAAGATTGACTTTTATAATTGTATTCAAAACTGTTAAATTCACTTAAAAAAGTTTCAAGATATGAAGAAATACGGAAAAAGTAAAATTAACATTAAAGCGTCCAAACTTAAGATCGCTCTCCTGATCAAACTATTGGGACTATATTCCCCAGTTTGCGGCTACCCCCTACATTTTGGGAATCATAATCAGTAGAGAAAAAAAAAGAAATTTTTAACTAGAGAAAGTAAGTCTTTTGTATCTGATTTCGTAACTTAAAATATTGTCTGCACTAATTCGTTGGCGAATTTGAAGTCATTCTCTCGAATCATTAAGATTGAGTCCTGTTACTTGAAAAAAAAATTTTTTTTTTGCGTGTTTCGCTTTTTCCCTTCCTTTTTTCGTACTGTACATAGAAAACTCTGAATCTTTTTGGAATCATGTATATAAAAGTTCTGGAACGTAAAAATCTGAAGTCCTTGAAGCAAACAATTGAGGAACTTGGTGCAAAAAGTAAGTTCAGATTTAGAAAATATTTTTGGGATCTAAAAGAAATTAAAAAATTCCTTAGGTTTGTATAGCTTTTCCTATAGCATTTACAATATCCTCCTAAGTCCCAGCTTCGAATATATTAGGCATTTTTATCTTTCTCATGAAATATTGATTTAAGAATCTATACAATGACATAAAAAGCCATAGTAAGTACTTTTTAAATTGTTTACTTTACCTACTGTAAGTACTTTTGTAAAGAAGATCTTAAACAATTACAAGTAAAAAGCATAATTTATTTATTAATTTTTACTCATGAGCATGCAGGCTTGTGTGCTCATTATAAAATGCAGCTTATAGGCCGTTGTCAAGTTGAAAAAGAAATAACAGAAGTTAGAGGACTCCACGAAGATGTATTTATAGTCATGGTGGTATACGAATCCGCAATCTCCACGCCACAGAGCGCTTGATGAGCGAATCCGCTCTCCCAAGGAGGTTCCGAAAAGCATAAAGTCGTTTTATTAAAGCAAGACAAATTTCAGTATACACATTTAATACCTCCATTTAAATGCACGAAAAACCCATAATAAATAATTACTTTGACCTTGTGTGGTATTTGCTTTTTAGGGATGAGCTGTCGTCACAGTACAACTACATTAATAAACTTGCGGTGATCGACTAAGTGAGTCGATCACCGCGTAATAAGTACGGTGATTGACTCCTTTCTTCTGATGGGGCGTTCCTGGCTGAGCGGTATCACCCGCCAAATGCTGTGTGAAGCATGGAGTTGGCGGGTTCGAATCCCGCTTTAACCCTGGATGTAACCCTTGTTATGTCCTTTTCTGAATTCTTCTGTCCCGCAATGAACTGATCGTAAAGACACGGTTCTCAGAAGAACACCAAGTCAAGCATCACTAGTTGCGGTCAGTAAGCGGGTGGGTGACCACTTTGCACCGAGGGTGCATGGTATCTGTCCTCGTTAAATTGCTCTACTGTAAAGTGCTCGACTTCACATGCAGGTCATGGGGCTACTAAAGCAGGAGAGCCATTCCCTCTCCAGAGGATCAAAATTGCGATGGCATGTCTTCGAAACATTCTCAGGGATGTTTCCCAGGCCGTCGCCAATAGCTCATTGTGCAGCTATACTGCGACTTCAATAAAATACTTAAATTGTTCTATCTGTCCTTCTATCTGACAAAGGTTTATAAGCCTAAATTAAGCAAACAAGCCAGCAAATGTATGTAATTTCAATAAAGCAATACTTCTAATCCAAAGATTATGCAGGTGCGTACGTTGAATATATTACCACAATTCAGCTCGAACCCACTGTCTCTGCACCCCATCTCCCAACCACCGAATCACGTGTGTATTTGTCTTTGCTCTACAACCAACTGGATATTACATTAAAATAATTCGAACAACTGAGATGGATGGGAGAACGTGCAGCATTCTCAACTATCTTTCCTTTGGGGATTCCCAATCTATAGAATATAGATTGTGCCAAGTCTCAGCTCAAATCATAGAAGACGAACCATGCTTCCATTAACCATTGTACCAATTTACCCGTCATAACAAATGGTCAGCCCTAGCTCGATGTTGGAATATGTGGTACTTGCTAGATAGAAACTGTTTTAAAAGTTTGTTCGTGCTCCAAAATTATGAAAAATTTTAACGTTTACAAGCGAATGGTACACAAGTGCTTAAATAAAAAAGGACTAACTTGGATTGATTGATTTGTTCATTTACGTCGCACTTGTGCTGCACAATGGGCTATTTGCGACGGTCTGGGAAACATCCCTGAGGAGGATCCGAAGACTAACTTGGATGCAGAGACTGGAGTAGTGCTCTTCAAACTGTAAACGTTCTGTGCACTCATTTCACAATTTAAGATTAGACCACATATTTTATCTTTCTAACAACAAATTTAAATCGCTCAAGCTTCACTATTAAATATTTGTATGCTTTATTTATTGTAAACGTCGAAATTCTTCAGTGATTTCGGAACACGTGATGCACTCCATGGTTGTCTTAGTCACTTGTCTTAATAAAACAATTTATTATATATATTCATTGATACACATACACTTTCAGGCTTGTGTGTTAATGATAAAGACAGCATATAAGCCTTTGAATAATTGAAGAAAATATAGTAAAGATTAAAGGTGGATGTTGTTGTTAATTTACGTCGCACTAGAGCTGCACAATGGGCTATTGGCGACGGTCTGGGAAACATCCCGGAGGATGATCCGAAGACATGCCATCACATTTTTGATCCACTGCGGAGGGGATGGCAACCCCCGCTTCAGTAGCCCAACGACCTGCGCGCGAAGTCGAGCACTTTACGGTAGCACAGTTTAACGAGGACCAAAACCGCACACCCTCGATCCCTACGCAGACTGATCCAAGTGGTCACCCACCCGCACACTGACCGTAGCCAGTGATGCTTGACTTCGGTGATCTGCTAGGAACCGTGTCTTAACGATCAATCCACTGCGGGACATTAAAGGTGGATATCACATCTAGTGTTATGGTGAGATTTGAACCTTCTACCTACATTCTGCGGAAGTATGAAGCAATGCAAACAATCAGATTAACCTTATCCGGTTTGAAATCAGTTCATGTAAATTTTAATGGTAACTGGAAAATATATAAAAGGAAAGCTTCGTTTGCGCAATTTTGTGGTTAGATGTGCAATAGAAAGTAGCCAATTTTTTTTTTAAGTTCCTATCGGACTGTCTACAATGGTAGGTAAAAAAGTTTTCAACAATCGAGTTCGAGTTAGTTTAAAATACCGGTTTTATGGAAAAATTCAACAGACTATTATTCATTATCTTTTTGTCTGTAACATTTATCAAATGAAACAGCTGTTTTAAAATTCGGTGCAGAGAACTCTTAATTGGATCATTAATTTGATTTCACTGAATTTTTTATTTTTACTCATTACATTTTGAAAAAAAAATTGAAATATCTGCTCCAATAGAATTAACTTATCTCATAATTTTAAATAATTTCGAATCAAAATCTCTAAATTTTGAGGTTTTAGAACTCTATTTTTCTATACACTCATTATATTCATAGAATATATATAGAATTAATGTTTTTTTCGCTTCTATCTACATTATTTATGCAATTTTCTTACTGTATATATTTCAAGATTTGTCTTTTATGTGATCATAACTATTAATCCTGAAAATGTGATTTCTACTAATCTATTCTTTTGATGGGAAATTTATCCCAAATTTCATTAGCTTCCCTCTCTAATATTAAGTATGCATAATACATATTTAATCATGTTCATGTTATATTGACAATCGTGAAAACAGCGAAATGTTTCGAAGTGTTTATTGACTCTATATTACATTTTTTTCTGAAATATCAAGAATGATTGTTAGTCTCATTTGCTTGAATAGAATAAATTAACTCTAAAATGTAAGGGAAAACTGAAATTTTTCAAAACTCCATATTTCTGTGTTTTGTTTTCGTTTTATTTGTTGTAAATGCATTGATTAAATGCATTGAACATTAGGCATACCCAACATTATAAAAATATTTTTATAATTTAATTTGATAAATTATATCAATTTAATATGAAAAATTGTTTTAAGTGGAATTGGCGAATTTCAATTTACGTCATAAACTTTAATTTTAATGAAAAAAAATATATAACCTTGTTTGAGTTTTGAAAGAGGGAAAACACTTTATATAAGTGCATATGAGATTAAAACAAAATTATAACATTTGGTAAATTTACAGTAAATACATAAACCTGATCTGTTAACTTAAAACATAAATTTTTCCAACAAAAGAATCTAAACAGATTTGAAAACTTATTTCGACATTTTAATATAAACAAATCTCAAAAAATTAGATCCATATAAGGTACCCGATATTTACTTCCAAATAAATTAAAATTAAATAAATTAACTTAAGGCTTGTCATTTTGACCGTTTTCGAAAAATTTGTTAAAGTTTTATCTAGTTTAAGGTTTAATAAATTTTCAATTTCTAGGTGGTAATTTTTACTACATAAATTTGTACTATTTGTAATACAACATTTAAAGCTACGTTAGTTCCGCATTTACAAAGTGCTAAGATTAAATTAGTGCGAGATTTCCAAATTTCTGTTTATGTGATTGGTTCTCCTTATTATAAATTAAGATGCTTTTTAAAACTTAGTGTGATTGTTAAACGTAGATTCTAATACTTTTAAGAGCTACGAAAATTCATATTTATGTGGTCTAATTTATTTTTAAAAATTACTTTAGTTGTCGCTTAGTCTAACGAATTGTGTGCTTTGGCCCTCCAAAAGCTTTCCTAAATTAATATTTCATGTATTGTAGCATTGTTTATTTATGAGAAATAAGATAAAGTGAATGTAAAAAAAAATGAAAACGAGTATTTATTCAAAAGCAAAAATTGGTTGCAACCAGAATATTGAATCATTATATAGCGGAATCTAACAATTCCTTTTGTACTCTAGAACCGTTAAATCGATCTAATACCTATTAAGCATATATATATGTATAACACTATAAAATCAAAAACTTTTAGAATTGTAAACGTCTTAAATTTCTAAAGCCTACTTTAAACTAGTTTTGAGTTTTTAACCGTGCGAAACTTATGCACTAGTCTTGAACATAAATTCTCATAATTTTCTCAAGTTTCATTGCTTTAGCAAACTTCACTTTTTTTCAATGAAGACTGAAAAGGTAATTTTGTACTACCACATGAAAGAAATTATTATATACAAAATACAAGCAATTTTTATGTTACAAAATAACTAAACATAGTTCTGTTTTTGGAAATATCAAATTAATGTAATATTTTTAAAGTCAAAAGTATTCTTAATTACTGCTTAAAATTAATGACAATGTAACTTCGCTCTGCTCACTATCTGGTATGAAGATAACTTTTCAATGTAAAGATCTATATACATATATTGTATGTATATTGACGTAAATTAATAAAATCAAAATTTATTTTAAAAACTTTTTAAAAATGAGTTTTTATTAGTAAGGGTAAATTTCTTTGGTTGAACTCATTATTTGTTGAAGATACAATTGTAAAATTTTTGTGCATTTTTACCATTTGAGTTTATCTAATAAATAAAACTGAATATTTTTGTTTAGAGATCAGCCTACTTACATTTTATGTGAATTATGTTTACATGCAATGAATAATTTCAAGAAATAGACGCGGAAAGTTACTTGTCAATAAAATTGTAATTTTCATAATTAAATAGAATAAAAGAGTAATGTTTAACTCGAGGAACTCTTTCTGAACATAATGGAGAATTTCTCTTACTTATATTGATTATGAATTCAACTTAGTTTACTCAATCTAATTTTATTTCTTTCGTGTATGCTTTCATTGCGGAAGTCATTATTTGATTACTTTTCCTGGTCATTTTGGATTTTAGTTTAAATTTATGATGTTGGTTTTCATGATGACTTTTAGTGGACTTAAGATTACGATTCTAAATTATACTTTTCGGAATAGAAAAATAGACTTCAAATTGTTTGAGGAGAAAAATAGTTTTTAGCACTACGGAATTTTTTTAAATTTCAAAAGCAATAAAAATTTTGTCTTCAAGAATGTTGGTTATTACTACATTCGAATTAAATCTTTCAAAAGTAATCGTTTGTGTGTTCAGTAATATAAACAAAAGTAACAAACTTGGAATTCTTAAATTAGTTATCAAAATTTTTCAAAATCTGAACTGACAAGGGTATAATAAACTACGTTTATAAAAATGCTGACATAATTTTTTGGTATAATTTAAACAAAAAATATATTGAAATTCTAAAATTTAGAGCAAATTTTTCAGATTTTGATTTAATGACGGCATTTAATTCTAAGCTTCGAACGATACTGTAAAGTAAAGAGAGATAGTCAGTTTCTGAAAATTTACTGTAAATGATTAAAAAATTAACTTCCCCACTCTGTGACCTTTGAAGATTGAATTCGATAGCAGGAGAAGCCTGCAAACAAGTCTGCAAAATTTTTTTGAAATTCTTAATGTTCATGTTTAAAAATGAGTGGTCAAGTTGACTATTATTTTAGTCAAATTGTCATTCTAACGCTGAAAGTTTTGGACAATATCGGTGTTGGAATTTTTTTTATAGGGAAGCTTCATAATCAGTGCGATTTACCATGTATTTAAATTTAAGAAAAAAATATGTATAAACTAGAATTTTACTAATCGTGGCTTCGTACCATTTAAGTCTTATATCCATTTAAGTCTTGTATCTATTTTTATCATTTTTCAAAATGGCAGAATGGGAAATTTGTCTGACCAAAATGATCCCAATCTTATTTTCCTCTGTGTAAAAAATAATCTATACATTATGCTAAGCCTTGTATTTTGATCTGCAGTTATCACTAGATTATTTCCCCATCACTGAATACGGTTGTTTCAGAAATTCCATTTGAAAGTATGAAAAATACCCGCATACTTTTATCTGCACAAATAGTTGCTTATAAAAAAAAAACGCCTAAGCATATTTGCTACTAAACCTAATATTTTTAAAGTTAATGCGATTCAAAATAGTTTTCTTCCTTGAACTGCTTTATAACCTCCCAGGGACTAGAGCTTTATAGAATGGCAGAAAGTAAGATTTTCACTTAATATGCAGTTTAGAAAAGAACTTTCAAATACTATAAAAAAAAATTAAATTGTTACATGAGATACATTTTTACTTTTAGTTCTTTTTTTCTAGATATTGTGGGATATTTTATAATGTGTTTCAAATTTTAGTCATGAAAAAAATTCGACTAGAAGTCATGGACCATGAAACAATCAGTTTATTTGACTCAAATTTCTTACCTCGTCTTACAATTTTACGCTGTAAATAAAATACAGAGGATAAAAGAAATCACTTTGCTAACATAGAATCTGAATTGTGCTAAATGTTGAATTTCCACTAAAGTCCAAGCTCTACTCTTTCAAAATGTAAAGTGAAATAGAATGATTCAAAAAATAAAATGATTATTCCGGGTCTTTTAAACCTTATTTTTGGCGTTTGGTCAATTATGAAGCTTAAGACTAAGTTTCACAAATGGTCAATTATTATGAAACTTGGTCAAATATTTATGAAACTTTATAACTGTAGGCATCAGCACGTGATTTTGACTGGATAGATGGCGCGCCAAAATCGGGTACTGTTGTGCCCAACAGAATATTCGTCGGTGGCCTTTCTGAAAATGTAAGTATGATTACTTTTCTCAGTGTTGAGCGTTTTACTGTAAATACTGAACTTTTAGATTTTTCAAATTGCTAATCTAAATTGATTTGATCTATATTTGAGACTTCGAGCACTTTAAAGATCCATATTTTCAAAAGTTACTTTCTTAGATCAAATTGAGCCTAAGTCTTTTTTCCAGTTGGATGAAAATTTCCGGAATTTCCTCTAGGTGGCAGCACAATATACTTTCGCCTAACTATAAATCTGAGCATTTTTTACTAAACTAGTCTGAACTTAAAAAAGTAACATTAAAATGCCCTAAACTTTTTGCTCTATTAGTTCAAATACTACAGTAAAGATGCATGGCTAAACTACCTTTTCATTTAAATTATTCTAGTATATCTACTTTTTCAATTCAAATTTCTTTTTTTATTCTCTGTTTTTATCCATCCAGATGCATAATTTGCAATTTAAAATTAAAACCAACCGAGCACTTTTTGTATATTCAATATCCCGGAGTTCAAGTATTTTCTACATTGAGCGTGATTTTTCGTGTTTATTGACCACCAAAATTTGAAAAGCATAAAAGGATAAAAACAAGCCTGATCGGAATTTTTAAAGGCCCTTTGCAATTTGGGCAATAAGTCCCGATAAGGCGACAAAACAAACGTTTATTTTGAAATCAAATATTGCGAAACAAGATGCCCCCTTCAATACAAAGAGAAACACTAATATAGTAATGTGAAAAAAATCAAAGTGCTAGCAATTTATTTTGATTTCTTTAAATTTAACTGTCCAAAATTATTTATTTACAGAGTATAATATTTTAAATTTTTCTTGCAGACTAAGGATGAGGATCTGACTAAACTATTTTCAAAATTTGGAAACGTTAAGTCTGCGAAAATCATTGTCGACAAGGGTGGTATATCAAAAAGGTAAGCATTTCATTTAAAACTATAAGTTCAATTAAAACTTATGTTTGTAAATTGTACAAATACTTAGTATTTTAAAATCATAAGAATTGCAATTTTAGTTTATGCTGTCAAAAGTTTTGGAATAAGTAGGATAAAAATTTTAACTCGGCGGTCATTGAGGAAAGAAATTCCTAAAAGAGAACTGCTATTATGCAAGAGCATAATAGCAGTGATATATATGGAATGATAGTATATGGAATTCTGAAGCCTATAGACTTAATTGAACAATATTGCTCAATACTACGAGAACAATTTGATTCTTTGCGTGAGTAATATACCACTGGAACGGTGTAAAGCTTTGGTAGCCGAGAGTAGACATACGACTGTAATAATCCGCGGGGCAAATCCTTTTATAAAGTTAATTCCGTCAAGTATATTTCGTCAATAAATTTGAACTTAAGAAGCATTTGGTTAGATTGGAATTTAAATATTTTAATTTCAAATAAAGTGAAATTTAAGGGGCGTTTTTTAGAGTCCAGAAAGAAATTTTACACTTTTGAATTTCAATACTAAATCGCTCTCCGAGAAAGTAAAATTCAAAACAAACTTTAAATATTTGACTTAGCATTTTAGTAAGAAGAAAATTTTTGATTAATGAATTTTGTAAAAGATAGCGTTGGGACAAAATATTGTGGAATGACTGTGTATTTTAATGAAATTTTTAAATTTCAAAGCATAAATTAAACATTGATGTATAATCTGGAATTTTCTTTTGCTGAATAAAAATATATTTAATACCTGTCGAAGTTATTTCGATCACTTTATATTTGTCTTTTGGTACACTTTGAGCGGAAACTACTTGAAGTAACGCATCAAATTTTTTATTAAGTGAAAACTAAATTTTACAACGCAAATATTCTCCAAATCTATCTCTTAATGTTTTGAATTTTAATGTCCCAAAATATTAAACTTTGAAATAAAAACCTTGCTGCATTGTTAAAATTATGCAACAAATATTCAGTAAGCGTAGAATACACTATTCTTATTTAATAAATCTTTACTTTTTGAGTTAGATTTAACAGTGCGCCAAAGAACAAATTAAGAGTCAAATTTATAATATATGTTATGCAAATGTAATTTTATAGGAAGTATAATAAGGACTGCTGCAAGCCATTTGTTGTTCATCATAAATTATTTTCAGAGAAATTCATTTGACCTCCAAATATTCTAATGACTTTCCAGCATTTCAGTATTTCAAAATTTATTTTAGATTTGGATTTGTTACATTTGAAACTGAAGATGAAGCGCAGAAAATCCTAAATGAGGTACGTTTTAGTTTATACTTTTTTTAAGTCATTCTCCCAAATAAAACTAAATTTTGCTTTTCAAAAATAATATTGTATATTTTGGGAACTTGAAATGTCTTAAACGCTTTATAATAATTCTAGTAGATTGCTGATTAAGCACAATAAGAAACTTTTTGAATTGATTTTTAAAGTATACGAAGAATGTGCTTTGGCTCATATAACTGTATTTTTTATGCAAAGAGTAACAAATTTTGAAATGCTTACTAAGGTTGTCAATTAATCTTAAATTTTGAGCATAAATACTGCTACAATTTTATTCAAAGTACAGCGTAGTATTGTATTGACCTTCATAAACATATCGCAGGTTTAAAACGACACTTCTGCTCATGTTGTTCAATGAGAAGTGAGTGCAGAAGTGTCTTTTTAGTTTCGAACTAGCGACATGGTCTAGTGCCTTGAACCATTAGTTAACAAATTTTTGGTTATTTTATTTACAATTTAAGCTGATTGAATTTGGATATGCATGAAAATTAAAACTTATTTTTAATGAAATTTTCCAGTATCCTTCCTTTAGTTAAAATAAATCTTACATTTCGTGGTAATTCAATTTTACAAAAATGTTCAAAAAGATTTAATTTTTACGTGTTGCAAGTGGCAGTCCTCATGGAAGTATATTTGAACCACTTGTTAATCTGCAGGACCTGTTTTATATACCTTGTACCAGTTCGAGGTACAATAACAAGTCTGATCAAAGGAACAACAGATTTACTCTTTATTATATTAGGCCTAGAAATGGCTATTTTTCTTACGGGGTATTTATTTGAATATTACTTCAGTTCTGTTTTCAAATAAGTATTAAAGGGTTTTTCAAAACAAATTGATTGAAGAATTATTGATCGGGAAAATCTATTAAAATTTAGCACATATCTGAAATGGTCACAAACATATAACAAGGTATAAACTAAATACTGAAGGCCAATTCCTTAATTTGGTGACTAAATTATTTGCCCAAAGTTACTGAAGGTATAACTCTTATCATATACCAATAGTATTTTTGGTATTTAAGGTTTTCAAACAGTGTAAGACCTGTTGAACTCTTATAGTTATTGAATAATCTCAATAAAAAAGAATTTTCAAATAAAAATTATATTTGTAGGATAAACTCCTTGTAATGTTACAATTTCTTCATCCGTTTGCAAGTTCAATTATTCTTCAATCCACCTTAGACATTTGCTTCACACTTTTGCTAAGTATGTAATTAATAGATTAAAACAAATTACTAAACTACAATAAGCCTTTATTATTTTTTTTAATAGAAACTTTAGTACAAGTTCTAAACTTTTTATAGCATAAATTTAATTTCTTCTAAAAATAGCAACTTGCTGATCAAATTATGACCCTTTACTTTTAAAATATTCTAATATCCATTATCCAAAGAGTAAAAATGACAAATTGAAATTTTGTAAATGTGATGGTTTCGAAGTCTGAACGAATAGATGAGAATAACTTGAGGCCCAACTAAGCTGTAATTTTAACTGATAAATCAGATAGAAAAACATTTTGTTTAGGTGATTAAGAAGTATCCTTTGTGAAACACTTTAAACTACAATTACTGATTAACTGCAAGTCTTAGAAATGTGTATGATTTGATCTTGTAGGTCAGTATTAAACTTTTATTTCAGTGGCTGCATTTTTTTCTTATACAGAGTTTTAATATTTGTATATTAAAGCACTGAGATGCAATATTAATGGTGTGAGGGTGTAACCTTAAATATGCTAATTTATGCAGATATTTTATTTTGCAAACTTACTTTCTCTGAACAAACAAGTCTTACTTCAACTGATTTAAATTTTCGCCCCCAAAGTGGGGTGGTTAGTCGCAATCTAGATAATAGGATCCAAGTAGCTTAATAGTGGTCAAAAATTTAAGCCCTCTGTTAATTTCACTAAACATGTATTTTGCTCTATCCTATTCATTAAAAGAACTAAAGGTTTTGCACAACTAGTTTAATCGGAAAATTCCATGCAAGATATGAGTTTCAAAGATTCTTTAATTTTCGAAGAAAAATTTAATTGTATGGCATAAAATTTTTTAAATTTAAAGCGGAGTTTGAATTGACTGAATTTGAAAGAAATCGATGCCGTAGTTTTATAATAAGTAAAACTCCTATATTTTTTTTCACTAATATATTGTATTTTCATTTGAAACTATAATTGATGCATTTAAGTACCTTACAATTCTATGAATTAACTTTTATGGAAAATCAGTTTGATTAGTTAAAATTTTTATACGATTCAATAGATCGATATGTAAAACGAAGTGCGCTGTATGCTACAGCTCTCCACTAAATTATTGAGACCATATTTTTCAGGTTTATTTAATGTGTTTGTATTAGATTTCGTAAGATAAAATTTTATTTGCATTAATTAGTCGTCATAATTAAAGTTAGATTCCAAAATCAAGATAATTGCAGGTGTTAGGATGTGATAATCCGATCACTCGAAACACTTAGAAATCCGATCACATCGAAAACTCGGAACACTTAGCCGATCAATCGGAGAGATCTCGTTTTGTGAGTTCAGTAAGCGACCCACCAGGAAAATCTTAAAGATTGGCAATATTTAGCTGTTAAAAAAATGTATATATATGGTTGCTGACTTATACACGGGTGCAATTTGTTCGGCAAAGTGTTAAGGTGTTCTGTTTTTCATTTTCACTGTTCAACTTTCATACAATCTTCCATTAGAGTTTGGTTTTGATTTCTAGGTAGAATTCGTTAACCTGAAAGATCTGAAATTGAACATAGCTCCGGCTGTGAAGAAAGAGGTAAGTCTAATTCAATTGGAATATTCCTTATTAAATTTTTTTTAAAGATATATAAATGACTCTTAAGATTTAAACCCTTATTTTTCTTATTGCGTTTTTTCTAAATCAAAATATGCCATTGTACATAACAGTATTAACTCGCACATTCAATTTTTAGATTTTTATTGACTCACATTTAATTTTGAGTACAGTAGAGCGCCGATTATCCGAACTGTTCGGGACCGAACGTGGTTCGGATAATGAAATGTTCGGATAATTGGAAAGTTGCTTAAAACCTAGTTTAAATGATTATTATTTATGCACCAACTTTCCTTCACACTTTTTCTAGGCTTAGGACTGGCAGTATTATCTAAAATAGCTCTGGCGAGTTTAAGACTTTTTTTTTTCAATTTTTAAATATATTTTTTTTAAACTTTTTTTTCCAATTTGAATCATTTTTATCATATTTCGGCTTTTTTTATAATTTTTTTTTTGTCTGATTTTGCCACATTTTTATTTATTTTCCATTGCAAAAGATATCCAGCAAAGACTTTTGTTTCAAAGAACATGTTCTTTTTTGTGCAGCCATATCCTTTATTCTTTTTATATAAATCAATTGAATTGGATCAACATCATTTTGACGTTCTGGGCAATTCATTGCAAAATCTAATGAATTGCATGCTTTTTATGAGAAGGTCCACGATCTTGAACTTGATCACGTACTTCTTCCTCTTAATCTGAGGAGTTCCGATTTTCATTCAAAATTTCAGAAACAATTTCATGATCATTTAAAATTTGAAATCCTGAGTCGTTTTCAGTGTCTCGACACCAGTCTTCTATTTCTTCTGCTGTATAACCTGGCATATTTTCACCCGAAAGATCTACCGATTCACAAACTGCAGTTTCGTTTGTTTTTCTGATAAGAATTTTATTCCAAGATTTAAGATTCCAAGCACTGTAATCACTAATCATTAACCATGAGTGACAACTACCCATCCCCCAATTGTAGAATTTCAGCACTTATCTATTCATAAACACATTCCGCTTTCCAACAATTGTAGATTGTCAAAATGAAGCTCGCATTCTTTGATGATAATTTTCAGTTGAAGAGGGCTAAAGGGGTATGTAGGTTTAACTGTATAACAATACATGTATGTATGGCTACTATAAGAAAACTGCTGAAAAAGGTTGTAAATTAAATATGGTCTTCAGATCTAGTGGATATTATCTATCCCTCTAAATTTAGAAAAATTGTCGATAAGTTAAAAAAAATTCTAAACTTAAAAAAGAGAAGAAAAAAAACGAATTCCGACATAGTTCGGATAATTGGACGTTCGGATAATAAGGGTTGGGATAATCGGCGCTCTACTGTATTAATAATTTTAATTTGAGGTTTTCTGATTTGCTGAAGCTTCTAAATTTCAGTCTTCAAAGCAATTATTTAAATTTAAATCTCTAAACTTTTATTCCAATAGTTCATTTAATAAGTGTTCAGTTGTCAAGACTTGTTTAGTAATGTTAATTGATAAATAGCAATTAGTAAAAGCTAATTTCTAATTAAAAATAGGCATATTTGCTTTTATGCAAGTTTGATTTAACTTTGCCCACATTTATAAGAACATGCTTTGTTGTTAATGGAGTAAATGACTTTATTAAATTAAAGTTACTCTGAACCATGCTGCTTCAAAGAACTATTTTAAACTAAAATTTCTTTAATAAAAACATTACGATCCATTTCGGAATTTATTTTTGCCATATTTTAGTTATCTTTAACCTATAAATGAGCTAGATCATTCCTAAAATCGGTGATATTTACACCAATACTCATCTAAACATGGTGTCTGTTTTTGAACCGTATTTTGTTATACAATGTTTCGAGTTATGAGGTTCATCAAAAAAGGTTCAAGAAATGTCTTGTTTCACTGCATAACTATAAGCTAAATAAAATATTGTTCAAAATTTTTTTAGTACCATGTCCTATTTGTTGTCCTAAGTTTAAAATATACCGAACCTAAAGCATGAAATTAATAAAATACGAATTTTGGGGAAACAGAATTGCTAACATTTAATTAGTACGCTATTTTAATTCCAATTTTTCTGAAAGAAATAGATATTGAGGACATTAATAAATTGAGATAGTGTCTGAAAAATCTGATTTTTTCCTTTATCTTCATATACAGGTAGAAAAGGTAATTTAAAATGGTTATAAAAATACCCAGCTTGAATATTAAGAAAAATATGCATCTAACAGAAATAGTTCATTTGGAAAATTGATAGCACCCGAAATTTTAAAGCGCGTGTAAACTTTTAAATTGAAAAAAATTTGTATGCTACAAACTAAATCCAATGTAGTTCTAATATACAAATTTTTTAACTGGAGCAAAATAAACTTGGATTAGTTGTCCATTGAAAATTAAATTTATTCCTTTTTAAAAAATTTTCTTTTTTATAAAACTGCATTTATAGAAAAATTATATTGCATTTTCTTTCAGAAGATCTGCTCAGGTCGAAGATCTGTGGGTAAGTTCAATCGTCAAATTCTAGAATTTTGTTAAACTCTCTTAAAAAAAAAAAAAAAAAATTTTGAAGCTAGGATAAAGTTTAGTCTCTTGTTTTTAAATTATAAATTCAAATCCAATCTATTGAATATTGTGACTTTATGATGAATATACTTATAATTTATGCTCATAATTGCGATATTCATGAATAAATTTGGCCTGACCATATGGATGTCTATTAGTGCAGAAGCCATTTAAAGTGACTAAATACGACACAAATGTACTTTCTAGGAACAGTATCCACCTTTATATCGATGGATTTGAATTCTAGATTCTCAAAACATGGGAATAATTTGGAAAATATGATTCCAATTCTTAGGAAAGCAGAGCAAAGTTTCGTCCCCAGTATGTTAATTTTAGTTTGCATATTTGACTCTGTCTAATGCGTTTCTTAAAATTGAAACTAATTTATTTTCTTCGCACAAAACTAGCCTTCTAAGGATAATTCAAAGTTAACTTTTTATAGTTGTAATTTATTAATAGTCAGACAAATTGTAAATGTCTAAGTATAAATGTTTTCAAAATTTTAGTCTTTAATTTAGAATTAAATCTGAAATTAGATGAATATCGGTTGACTAGCACTTGATAAATGACTTAATTAGTTTTCAATAAAACTAGTTAGACATAAAATTCCTGCATAAAATTTTTTTAATCTTAAATTTTCATAGATTCTGTGTCTAGTACTTCGATGGTATGGCCTGCACATTCTGCTTCGACTGGATTTTCTAGGGATTCACTTTACTATCCTCAGGTGAGTTCTATTGCATGAATTTGGTAACTGGAGTAACTTTTTTATAGTTTTATATATTTCAGTTTTGGGTTTAGAGTAAATATGGGGTTCCCAGTTTACGCACGTGGATCTTTTGCCATTAAATTGTACGTTCAATATTTAAAAGTTTTTATGCAAAAAATTTAAACGTTTTATATTTGTTCAAAAAAATTTCTTTAAAACACTGGACCGATATCGAAACAAATGTATTATGTTCATTACAAATGTGCAGGATTGGTTTATTTCAAACACGCACTTCGTTGTTTTCTCAAATATGCATATTTACACTAGCCAAAGCTTGGAGAGACTTTAAATTATCTGCTCTCAGAAAATGCTGTTTAACCATAATTATTCCTATTTTGAACAGCTGTGTTATGTAAATCCAAGTTAGAACTAATTTTCAAATCTAATGGAAGATTAAGCTTAAACTTTTGACCTTATTAGAGGATTGCAATAAATTTGGAACACATTGAATTAATTATCATACAATCTTTTTAGATTGTGTAAAACTGTCGAAAGAGAGAAATTAAATTTTCTGCCCGAAATGAACCAGCTTTAAGTTTTGTTCAAAAGACAGTCGCTAGGAATTTTTTTAAGGTCTTTTTTTCCCTCTAATGTTAAACGTTGTGAAAATGAGTTTATCCCAAACTTACTTAAATTAAAATGATATTTTCCTGTTAGAAAGGCTGAGAGTAAGGGAAATTTTTGAGAAAATAAGCATAGTTTAGACATTTGTTATAGCAGGAAAATGGAGAAAATAAAAATACTGAAGGGTTTTATAGAACTAGCTTGATGTAAGGTTATTTAGAAAGTTATGCAAAGAAAAATGGCTGCTTTAAAGCTTTTCTTTGTCGAATCCTTTTCGAAGCAAATGAGATTGAATCAGCAACTCCTAAAATTAAGTTAGAAAGCTGAAACAAATTTTTCGATAGGTATGCAAATAGCGCTAAAATTAAAATAACATGAAAATAGATTTTTCAAAAATATAACCTTCCAGGAAAGTTCAAAATTGCCCGAAATTTGCTTGGAAATTCAAACTTTCATGCTTTTTAAAAATTTTAAATTTGCTATAATTTGAAGTCAATTGGTGAGGATTTGAGTTATGTATGTAGCAACTTTGTGATGTATTAAATATTTGGAATAAATACTACTAAATATTTTTCCGCTTTTAAAATTGAGTACTTTTAAGAAGTTAATGGACCTCTTTTCGCCAAAACCTAGTGACCTAAGACACAGCAGAAACTTTTGTAGTAACTGGTCATAGGAGCACGTGATTATTTTATATATACACATACAAGAAAGTTGTTATGCACTAAAAGTGGTTGGAAAATAAAATCAATACCAAAGCTATTGAGTGCCAGTTTCAAATATTTCGTGTTTAGCAAGTTTGAAATTTGTGCCGAAAGAACCTGTAATCCCTTCTCTTTATTTTGCTGTTATCCGTACCATTGTGTGCCTTATCATTAAAAGCAGTTCAATCATGAAAAAAACTTAAATTTTAAGCCTGCAACATTAAATAAATCTTGAATGAAAACTATAAAAGTTATAAGCGGCAATTATGCCATTTGTCGTTCTTGTTCACTTATCATAATGCATAGGGCTAAGAAATTCTCTAAATTATAAATTTTGATAAAAGCACTATAATCATTCATTCAACTTACTAAGGGAAATTTGAATTTTTTAATTTCCAGACTTCTTGGCCTCTAATGTGGCCTCATCAGTTCTACCTACAACAACAGTGCCATCTTCAATCTGTAAGTAAATTTTAAATTTTTTATATCTAGAGTTAAGTATTTGTTAGCCTTATTAGAAAACAGAGCCAATAATTTTAGGATCACTTTCAACAGATTTTGGTGTGCTAAATGTGCAAGCCCAGTGAATTCTGAGATCTTATATTAAGAAGTTTAGTTGTACAAGAAAAGTACTAATTGTGTTAGTACGAATTATGCAAGCAAAATTTAAATACGCTTGTTAAAACAGACTGAGTGTCCAGTACTCTACCCACCTGGGATCCAGCGACCAATATTTGAAAATTTTTCTTTTAAACAAAATATTTTGTTTGCTTTTACAAAGCGATTGATTATGTAAACATTGAGTTTACCCTTATTAATAAGAAAGTTATTGAAAGAATGCGAAAGGTAATTATTGGAAAGGGAAGGAAATTTGTTCATGTAATCTTTCCGGCTGTTTTAAAGCACATAATTTCGTTCAGTAAATTTTGTTTCGTGACCAAAATGTGCAGAAAAAATTTAAAAGTTTTACAATATGTAACTGCAAAAAGTTGTATTTAAAATTTAATTTATTCAAAGAAAATTCCATTCAAAATGGTTTTTTCTTTAGATGTCGGAGAAATTAACTGTAAGGTATACAAGCTTTGAAAAAAATATTTAGCAAAATACAAAATTTAAACGAAATTAGTAATAGCTTCTGAGAAATAGATTCTTAAATATCTGACTTATTTTAAAATTATAGTTCTCATCAGATTCAATATATTTTGTTAATAAAAATCTTTAAAATAATGTAAAAATTTTTATACCTTTCACTTAGTTTCCTACAATTTATATAAAATAAAAATTGCATGCAAAATAATTTTGAATTATCTTTTGGCTAAGCTGATTTTATAATTCTGTGCAAAAAGTTTTCGATCGAAAGAAAAACTTTAAAAAAAATTAGGCTAATTATTCCTTAATTTTGTACGATGTGCAAACAAAAGATTTTAATTTTATGCAGTTTTCTTTAATAAAAATAGTAAATGTCTTTTTCTTTAAGAATTCAGAGATTTAAAAAAAATCGACCCACTCTAATGTGCTGCAGGCACCTTTAGAACATTTGGCTTATTTCATTTCCCTTAAAATGTCATATTGAAAACAGATCTCTTTTCTTATGTCTCATAAACTTGGTTATGTGGGAACTCAAGATTGCCTGAATACTGTTTTAACGTTAAACCAAAACTATCTTAGTATAAAATTGCATTATGTATAAAATTCAAATTCTATTAATATTGCTGTGAAAAATGCTGAATTTATATTTTAGCCCATGCAGGCACAGTCTGGCTTTCCGCAATATGTTTGTTCCATTGCACCGACTGGATATCCATTTCAAGCAATGGGGACAGTCTCTGGCACAGATTACTCTGAAACTTCAGCTGACAACAATGAAGTAATTTTTATATTTTACTCTTAACTAAAATTTTCGAAATTAAATTTTGGTAATTGCAATTATGATGGAATGTATTCATTGTTATCAATTATCGAAGTCCTTCAGCTTTTTGATATATCTGCCTTTTTGCTTTAACAATAAATTTAAAATTTATATTTAAATTTAACAAATATTAAGCTTCAGTATAATACTTTACTAACTAAAAGCGAAAATACTAACTTTTATACTTAACAAGACTTCCAAGCGTAATCTGTTTGGAATCTAGAAATTTCCGGACACTTTTAAAGCAGATGTTAGCCATTTCTGGCGCATTATTTAGAAACATCTGCAAAATACGTAGCATGGATTACTTATGTTCTAAATTTTAATAATAAAAATGAATCTCAGTTGAAGAATGATAGAAATCCAGCAGAAGTAATATATACCATCACACTCAGTTTTTTTAATTTTTTTTTTACAGAAATGAGAATATTTTTAAAATTTAGACTTGAAACACTATTTGTGATAAAGCATAAAATTGCATAATGTTTAAATTTGTATTTTCTGCAGAACACAAAAAATCGCACTAAGACTTCCAGTGCAGATTATGATCGCCATCATTCAGCTCATGCTAAGCAGAATCAAGCTAGAACAACAAGCCCTCAACGTTTAGGTACCTCTTCTCTCGAAACTCCACCAAATGTTTCTCATTCCACACCAGTTCATCACATGCACCACCCAGTCTTGGCCAAAACCGTTAATGGTGTCACAGTTATGGCTTATCCTAGCTACATGATGTGCAGTCCAACTTTGGTCCATGTTGAAGATGGTGCTACTGATTCTGACAGCGATGTGACAGAGCTTGGATTTTTGCATTCACCATTCACTTCTGGAACTCTTACACCACCTGCAACACCCCTAGTATCACTGTCTTGTGAATTTAATGCCAATACTAGCATTGAATCTCTTCGCAAAAATTAATGTTTGTGTAATGAGGATGGAAAACGAATCTTGGAAAAAAAAATGAGTGATGGTTAATGTTTCCCTCTTTTTGAATATATTATATATATTTAAAATATTTATACCTATCCTATTTTTTTCCATTCAGAGTGTATGATTAGTTACATTAGCTTATTGTTTATGAAACATAATGTAATCGTTTTATTTATTGTTTTTATGTCCATATGCCACTGGTTGCCTTTGTATCAAAGTAAACCTTTTTGTCGGCCCCTTTACGTATTTAACTGTGCTTTTAGTTCGGTAAACTTCTGTCAACAATTCAATTGACTCAGGCTAATTTTATAAAACTGCTTCTTAATTATCAATTATATATTTCATTTAATTTACTTAGTATACTGAGTTTTATGTGTATATTTGTGTGCTTGTCTCCCTACCTTGTCTACATTATAAATACTAACTCAGGTTTGGAAGTCTTAAAGTGTAAACGTAGACTGATATTTTAGTATTTTTACCATCTTTCCTGACATTTTAAAGCAAAATAAACACTGAATTGTATCAATTGTAAAAAAAAATTAAAGGCTTAAAAGCCAATTTGTATGTGTATTTGCATTTGAAAACTGAATAAAAATATTCTGTTGAAGTCCTGTTTGCTACACAGCCTAATTAGAAACATAAAAGTTTGCAATTAATATTCAAGCTTCATGTTTTTAGAACTGAGCTTTGTGAAACCATTGCGAAATTTAGATGAAAGCAAGAGACTTAGTTGAAGTGATTAAGATTTAATTAAGTTTGGGAATAGGTCATTTTTAGGGTATTAAAAATGTTTACTAAAGTCGCATTGAATTTACAAATATGAAGGAGAATTCAAAAAGTTTCACTTGGCTCTTCTGCTAATAAACGTACTTCGTTATCTCCAGAAAATTCTTTGTCCTACAGTACTTAGTGTCCCAAATTTTACTCAAATAACAGGAACAAGTTTTTGTTGCATTTATGCAAATACTTGATCTTGTGTAATTCTAGTGTGGGAATTTCAAATATGAAATTAGTTTTGCTCTTAAAACTAGATTTTTTAAATGACATTTTTAGTCTATTGTTAAATTTTAAAAACGTTATATGGATTACGTGAATGTTTCTACAAACTTTTAAAGGAGTTAAGGCACATCAGATGAATTAAACTGCATAGGGACCCATGCCTCTAGCTTCGTATGAAATTTTCGGGTATGGGTGCCTATGCAATTTTAAACCTGAGGTCCCATATAAGTTTGTCCCAACATTTATAAAACACCCTGATATATTCTTTTAAACTTGTACAGTTTGACAAAAAATCTAATAATGTCCTTAAAAAGAAACTAGTTTGGAGAGAGAAGCTATTTGAAATCTGCGATCTGTTAAAAAATTTCCTGCAACAAAAGTTCCCCGGTGTAATTTTAAACAAGAATTTCTTATAGTTAATGTTCCATAATTAATATTCTATAGGGTTATATTCGGGATTTATTAAATGGCCCAGATAGATTTGCTATTTTATAGAAAATTTTCAATGAGCATTTTGTGGCTAAAATTCTAAGAGCTATATTTAAAGGAATTTTTATTCTGACTGCATAAATTAGACTTTTAGTACTACAGATGAGTACATAGCTTAGAAGCTACCCAATGTAATAGTTTAAATTCTTTTTAGTTACATGGCTAAATGTTTACGGTCCTAATATAAATTTTGTCATGGCAGATACCAAATCTAGTCGAGTCTATCAGAGTAGTTGTTTTAATGCTTTACGATTTGCAATGAATATACAAAGCAAGCAAATTAATATTTAAATTTTTTTAATCTTATTTGTTTAGTTGCATACAAGTCAATTCTGTATCTGTTAAAATAAAAACCGTATCTTCATCTTTTGTAGTGCATTATTGTAAAATCCGTTTAATATTTTACAATATAAGTGTGAAATGTTATTAGTTTTTAAATAACACTCCATAGTTCATGAGTTAAAAATACTTCCCAAATTTTTATTTTAAAAGAGCGTTTCTATCCTTAAAATGGGTACAATGCAGTTATGTGAATGCAAATTATTCTAAATTTTCTAATATGGCAGTTAAAGATCAGATTTTACATTGGTGCAAATAGTAAACTTGTATATATTAATACATTGGATATGTGAATTCATAAAACATTGCATCACGAACTATTAATTTCAAGAGTTTTTATTCCAGAAAGTTGAAAGTTCTTCGGTGTAAATTTGGGAAATAAACTGTGTGTTGAGTGTAAGATAACTTGGGTAACTTTTCAAGAAATTTACAAGCTTGTGTTTCAGAGTCACGTTTTTAAAATCTTTACATTCCAGATTCAAAGCAAAAACGGCATACTTTCAAAATAAAAGGAAATATAATCTTTGGATACTTAGAAACATTTATATAGCTAATACATAGGTTATAGATAAAAATGTTTTTTAGACATTTTATAAATATTTTTAACTCGTGCAATTTGCGTTTGCTGAAAAGAACTTCTTACTTTACAGTTCCATTCGTACTTTACAGTTTGTTTAACCCCTTTCTTCTCGTTCCCGTGAAAATGACGGGGTGAGGTTTCGCCCTCTATTTCTCGCTCCCGTGATATTGACGGGCTGGAGTGCTCAGTAGTAACGCGCCAATTAAAATGAAACTAATTCATTTCTTTTGCCCGGAAAGCATTTTATTTCTCATTTTACACACCAGATGGCAGTACCAGGATATTTTTAAGGTAATTGTGGAAGAGATGAAAACAATAAGAGATATAGGAAGGAAACTCGGTACTACTGTCCAGATTGCGACGTTGGCCTCCTGTATCTCATGCTTTGAAATTTATCACGCAGGAAAAAATTACTAATCTTTATTTATATTATTCGGAAGTTTAATAAAATTCTTTTCTGATGTTTAAAACACATATTTTTTAAATTTTCCCTGCTTGCTGGAAAGCCAACATTAAGTCATAGTAACCCTGAACGTTAGCTTTTCCTAAAGATTTAATTCTTTAAAATTTCAAGCGAAAAACAAATTAAAAAGAATATATATATATTGTTCATACACATATTTTTATATAATTTTCAGGGATTAAAAAATAGGCACTTTTATGACCGTTTTCTTGAAAATTAACCGATCGTTAAGGGGTTAAGAAGGTGAATTAAAATTTATCTCAATGGTAAGCGTCAATTATATTTGGGGCAATAAAAATCTAATTTTCATATTGTTCAAGGAAACGTTTTTTTTATAAGAGANTGATCCTCTGCGGAGGGGATGGCACCCCCGCTTCGGTAGCCCGACGACCTGCGCGCGAAGTCGAGCACTTTACGGTAGCACAGTTTAACGAGGACCAATACCGCACACCCTCGGTCCCTACGCAGACTGATCCAAGTGGTCCCCCACCCGCACGCTGACAGCAGCCAGTGATGCTTTGTATTGTACTGATAGTTACGGATGATTCCAGAAACTTTCAAAGTACCTACCTGGGCCAATATAAGGAATAGATGTAAAGAATGTCACCTCGAGAAAAAGTATGACTTAACACTATACTTTCCTAAACCTTTCATCTGCCTTTTGACCAAGTTGCGTCTTCATCAACTGCTTGCTAGTAGGTGTTCTATGACAGACGGTTTTTAAAAATTTATAACAGGAAAACAGATAAGGGTAAATTAACAATTCTTGGTGAGAGTTCTTGTACCAGGGTATACAGTTTCTTCGCAGAATCCTTGTTTTTAATTAAACATTTTTCCCACAAATGGTGCTATTTTTTTTTTTTTTTCGTTTTGTTAAAAGTAAATTTCGTCTTCTGATTGCAACAAGTGATTATGGCCGATGGTGGACATTTCTAAAATATTGTGATGTGATTTTCGATTGACCTTCCTTAATTTACAGGTTTTTACTTGCAGCGCCATCCTTCGAAAGATTTTAGAACTAAAGACAGGAACTCTGGCATAAAAAAAATTATACCCCCCTCACATGGATTTACTTAATTGTTTCTTTTAACCTTAACCATTTTCTTGTTATAAAGTTAGAAAAACCGTCAATCTAAATTAGAATCCTGTATCTTATTCCACACACATGCACTTTTTTTATTAAAAAAGTGCTCAGAATAATTTATTCAAATGTTTATGAATATAGCGAAGCATGGGTGGAAAGACTTATGCTATTGTATCGATACGATGTCTTGTATCGATACCATAACTGTTACCTTGGTTTCTGAAAAGAAATGAATTTTACTGTTCACAATTTCAAATATTTAAAAAAATTAAACATTTCCTCAGGAAACGATTTCATGCTCTAAAATGTTTCAGTTTAATTGATTTTTCTTTATAACATTTAATTAACATCCAAAATTAATATATGTATATATATTATTAATCTTTATTATCTGTTAATTTGAAAGTAGAATAATACTGAATAAAGACAAAACATTTTGGAAACAGTTTCAATTTACATGCTTTCTGTAAGCATAACAAGACAGCTATAACTAACAAATTGGAATTCTTATTGACGAAGAAAGAACACATTTACACAAGAATAGAACAGTTGGAACATATAAATAATGAAATATGTAGGATGATTTACATGAAAGATAAAGTTCACTACAGACTTTTACATGGTTCAACAAAACAAAATGAGTGGCTTTATTTTGCCCCTTGCTCTTTTTTTTCGATTTTATGTGATTATTCGAACTACCTACTTTTAGAGATATCACTTATCAACGTAAAGTCAACAGCCAAAGACTTATTGATTCATTTTATTTAGCTTTAAAGTATTAAATTCATATTTAGGACATCCAGCGATAAAATATCAGAATTAAAAAAGCATTATTTCTGAAACAATTGTAGGCAAAATGAAGAAATAAGCAGTTTATTGATTGGGAAAGTGTTAGGTTTTTTATACACAATGTTCGAAATTAGTTTGCCAGCTGATAATGGTGTCTAGAACTGTAAACATAAACAAAAATTTACACTATATGCTGTAAAAATCTTTAAAGATAGACTCTGTAATGCTACAATAGCGCACAAGACTCAATTTATTTCCATTTTTATAGCTCCTAACAGCCAACAACGCAATTAGTTGAGAACTTTTATTGATATTTTCAGCTTTACCCCGCATACAGCGTCACCTGTAAGCTATTTTTGTAACTAAATTTGAAAGTTTTGTAAAAAAATAAAGTCTTATAGCTTTAAAAATCAATACACCACTTATTTTATCATTTAATTTTAGACATTTCGGATGTATTTAATTTTGAAATCGGATACTCCTTTGCAGGCCACACTACATAAGTTAAGTTTATTTTGCTTAGTTTTAATACAAGTGGATACTCAACATGGAAAATTCAAACTTTAAAAGTTACAGAACACGAAAAAAAAACAACATACTTTTTCGTTTTAGAACTCGAGCTTGAAAAATGAAAATGGATAATAGAATCAAGTCAAAGCACCGAACAGATTCAAAGTATAGAATACCAGAAAATATTAAAAGCTCAGATATTTTAATGATAGTTTTATGTAAGTATTTTTTAGTGTTAGAAATAAACTGGTAGATTTTTTTTATAAATTTAACAACTTAGAAATATTGATTTTTAAAGTAACTAACAATTTAAAAACAGGTTCTTGAAAATTGAATTTTTGGAAACTTCTTATTATTTTAATTTACAAATTTTAAGTTTCAACATTAAGAAGTAACAGAAGTCCCACATTAGCACTCGAATGAGGAGAAAACATTATAAAATTAGGACGAGGCATTAAAAGGATCTATAAAAACAAGGTGGAAAATGAAATATAACAAATTAGTTAATTTATGGGTTGAAGCTGAAAGGTGATTCCTAACAAAAGTTGAACACCATTCAGATTTAGTCAATAAACCGTTTTTTAATGATTTAAATTCCACATTTGTTTCAATTGGCCTCTACGTTGATTTATGTGAGTTTATTTACCGATTTTATTTTTGTTTCCTTACTTAAATTGAGTAAAGAAGTGTCTCTCGTAGTTGCGACATCTTTTTTTTAAAATTACATTTAAGGTAGTGATTCAGAAACAGTCTTTTTAAATTTTGTTTAAATTAAATCAATTGCATCAAAACTTGAAAAAGTGATGCATGTTTAAATTTTACTTATATCTGAACTCAGCTAAACAAAATAAAAACTAATACTATAACATTATCTTTAAGAAAAAAAAATCGTTTTTATTGACAAGTGTAATTTTATTAGTGTTTTAACTATGAAATTGAATCTTGATTAGTGAAATTTCTTTATGTATTGTTTTTAAGTTTAAAATTTTTTAAGGTTCACTTCATCACCACACACTGTTCAAATTTGTTTCTCATTCTCAGTACTTAATAAATCTCATATTTAAAATAAATAACATAGCGAATAATTACATAACAAAAAACATAGCGAATAATAGCGAAAATTATTTTCGTACGTGCTTTTGTAAAACAGGATGTTTCTATAAATTATAGGATGCCCCATGTCAAATAAATGTTTGATTATAAATTTGTTTATCGATTATAGCTTACAGTCAATATGTCAAATGATTAACAGGAGAAATAAAATAGACAACGGTTTACAGACAAAATGAAGTAGACAAGGACTTAAAATAGCGTAAGTGAAATTGTTAATCATCTTATTCAATGTTGGCTTAATCAAATATTGCATATTAGCCTTCACTGGTAAAGCAATAATCTTATTTTTGGAATGTATTATTAAATATTTGAACTTTGACGACTGATCCGACATTTTTTTTTGATTTTTTTTCTTCTGATTTTTGATTAGCAGTTAAAACATTTTTCTTTCAAGTTATTGACTCGAAAGCAAAGATATTCTGTACAGCTAGTTGACAAATGCTTTGCAATTGTAGGCAAAAGTGCATTTATGTTCGTGTATTGATGTTTGTTGATGTTGTTGATTTATTTATGTTATGTCTGTTTTGATAAAATATGCTCAAAGCATTTCTTTGATCTTTCACAAGCTGCGCACCAAGAACTTCATTTTCAGTGAAACGTTCGTAAATTTTTCATGGGAATATAATATTTTTTAAAATTTCTAATATCCTAATTCAGTTAAAGTTAAAATTCGTATGAAGTATAAGAATTGCCTATACTAATATAATGAGAAAAACAACAATGTAATAAATAATAATAAATGATTGAATGAAAATTTGTCAAGGATCAACATTAGCTTTTGTAATATTTTATTTAGTATTAGTTATGCAATAAGATCAAAAAAGTTAACTTTAAAAAAATTCCCCCCATAAGTATATATTCAATTGAAAAATATATATTTTTCACCATAACTAATATTCGCAAACTAAATAAAATGATGAAAAATATTAAACTCTTCCTTGACTCGTACATAAAAAAATGTGTATACATAACAAAAGATATACATTTATTCAATAAAAAATAATGAACAATATATACAGGGTGTTCCATAATGACCACCTTTAATATTTTAGATATCTTGCCCAGAATGCACGTCAGAGGTCACAAATTAATATATAAGCAAGAAAAAATAGCCAAAACTTCTTCGAAAACTAATGAATCACTACTGAGGAGATCAGGACTTATGAAAATCAAATAATGTTTGGTTGCCGGACAAAATAAAGAGGAGTTAAAAAGTAGTTATTAAAAACACCTCAGAGTCTCATACGGCAATCAAACATGTTTTGATGTTTTTCACCCCTCTTTCTTCTACAAATGATTCAACATGTTTCGAACTTGCTTAAATATTAATTTGCTACCCATAGTGTTGCAATTTTTTTTAAAATTTCATTCTTAGCAGGAATCTGAAAAATGTATGATAAGGGTGGCAGTTACGGTACGCGATGCATTTACTACTCCAAACTAAGAAACATATTAAATTCAAACAGATTTAATAGAAAAATAACAGATAATGGACAACAGGCGTTTTAAATACTAATTGTTCGAATTATTAAGCATATTTTTTTCATCTATATTTAGTATTAGTTTTTTCGATTCTTTAAGATGCAAGTCGGAGAAATTACCGGAAGCGAATAAAATACATTTTTAAGAAAATATTATATCATTTCGGCTAACTACTTGGAAATTGGTTTCAAAAGTCAAAACTATTGTTGACATAATCTAGTTCACTGTCATGTACTCCTAAAATGTACTATTGTATCACAGACATATGAACAACCGCACCCACGATCCATAGCTCAAAGAGCAAGGGAATGAGCCACCATTGTGAAGTATTTCACGTAGCAATATAAGCAAAGAAAAGTTATTAACAAATCTAAGGCACACTTCAATTCTTCAGTGTTTCAGATAGTTTATACGGCAGAGATGCCTCTGAAGTGTATCAGATGGTGAAATTTTCAAAAATATACTGGGGGCAGCTCAATTACCAGAACATATCTGAATCTTCATCTAGGGCATCGACTGGATCCTTATCTTTTAGACACTCGCTGCCCCCTGCAATTTGTCACAACACAGTATTGAAGACTGTCATCGATTTCTTGATGTGTTCATCCTGTCAAATAAACAAACAAAAAAGTGATGTCTTAGAAATATCTATCCCGACAATGAAATACAATCTTCTTGGCAATTTTTATATTCCGTTATTGTTCAATTTGTTTAAAAACAAAACGCTTCAAATTAATTTTTTTAATCAATAACGTAGGGTGATTTTGTTAGAAAACTAGGATTACCAATAGAGTAATACAGAGACGACTTAATGAAATAAGCATAGATAAATAAATTAGAAAGAATGACTGTTCTTACAACATTATAAACAAGTACTGTCATTTGTGAAGAGACACGGCATGCAAATGAAGAAGATTAATCGAGTTGCTACAACTGCGTCTAGGCAACAAAAGAGAGAAGGCCTCTGCACAGATCAATTTAATTGTCCGATTTAATGAAGTGCAGTGGGGGTTAAAAATGATGTTACTACTTTCGGGCTACTGCGCAATGGGAGGAAAATACAAAAGATATCCCAATGACTTCAGTAAAGGCTCGGATTTCTCGTTTATGGTAACTCGTGCGCATGCCTTCTTTCTTCTTGAAAGCTGGTTGTGGTTTCTTATTTTTTTCGATTACGGAACCCTAAATGATCGAGATTCTTTGGCGGAACCTCAAATCAGTCGCGAGCACAAGGTATAAGAAGTTACGGTCCCATGCATCCAGCCAAAATTGACATCCGATCAACGACAATAATTTCAAATAATTTCAAACACACAATAATTTCAAATAATTTCAAACACACAATAATTTCAAATTAAACACAATAATTTAAACACAATAATAAATTAAGCACAAGAAAACAAATTTCACACAATAATTTAAAAATACACAATATTTTCAAATTAAAAATAAATTGCATTTTTTTTTTTACTCTGAAATGTAATTTTTAAGATTGGATTCTAAAGTAATGCGCAAAAAGGTGAAAGGTGATACTCAAAATATTATGGAATTATGAGCAATAAAATATGATTTTCAAACAAATTTAAATATCCTTTAAATTTAATAAAAAAGACTAAAATATTTTGCTTGAATTATTTTTTTTTACCATGGAATAATTTCCGCTTATATTTAAGTATAAAATTGACTTAAAATATAGATTTATATAGAGATTTACATTTGATAAGTACTTATTTTACTTTTAATGAAACTTCTTCAAAAGTTAAAATTTTTTTCTTTCTCTCCTTTGATTATGTTCCTTTTTCAAGGGTATATAATCGAGGATTTTGTTCCATGGGGCTCCTTCCATTTAACTCTGGTCCTATTCAATTATTATCAGCTATGAATACATACTAACCCAGTAAAGGTTGATAATTTTTTTAATTTTAAACTTGTATGAGGTTTGAAATTTTAAATTTGAAAGAAGGTTTTTGATTGGTTGATGAATTAAAAAAATAAGATTGTATGTCCAGGTATTTGATTTTCAGGTATTGATTGGCTTCTAGTCTAGTTCTAATTTTGTTTGTGTATGCATAAGCTGAAAAGGAATAAAATAATCGCGGTTTTAGAAAGAATAAAAAAAATGCATTTTTACCTGAGTACAAGAATTCATAAATTCCTCCATTGTAACGACTCCATCATTGTTCAGATCCAGTTTCTAAAAGAAAAATAGCATTAATATATATTGCTGCGGAGATAAATTTAATTACATTAAAACAATTTTAAACAAAAATTTACATTGCGAATAAATTTTAAATAAAAACGGGAACTTCAAAATAAAATTTTTAATTTCCTTTTTTTTAAAATTTAACTAATGCATTGTTATTTTCATTATTTTAAAAATAATTTATCTAAATTTTTAAAATTTAAGATCATTTAGAGCGAATTATATAGGCAATTCCACAAAATTGCTAAAAAGTATGTTATGCACATATGAAAAATACAAAAATAATCCCTATCATCTCAACTAAATATCTTCAAAATTTATCTAGTGTGGCAGAATAGGAAGGCCTTATGGTCTTCGACCAATTTGTATTGCTTATAATAGTGCGTGACTCGAGACCTTGTGTCACATGGCTTGGTGCTTTGCTGGTATTTCGCTATCAAAGTAGTGGTTTTTCAGTTGTTTATGAATGGGCCTTTAGGACTCTGGGTACTTGAGATTAATTTCTCTTCTCCAACTTTTAAAGAATTTTAAATAAGCATATTAAGAGTAGTTATTATAAAATACAGAAAAATAATTATGAAATACCTGAAAAACTCGTTCCACATGGTCTCTAGTTGTGAATTCTTCCATTGGTGGATCAATGGATTTTCCCATCATATCATAAATTGAAGCAATAATTCTACTCATCTCATCTTTAGTGATGTAACCATCACCATTAATATCGTACAGACTGAAAACCCAACGCAGTTTTTCTTGCAAAGATCCACGAGCCAGTACCGATAACCCGATCACAAAATCCTACAAAAAAATTACAATCTAAAATTTATGATAATTATGGAAATGTAATAAATTTAATAAAATAATGCAATATATCATTTTATTAAGAGAAAACACGTTTGAAAAAATTTATGTATTTATTTCACTCAGTTTGGAAGCACGTGCATGTAAAAAGTTTGTCTTATAAGTTACTAAACTAACTTATAAGTCTAAGTAGTTAATAAATTAACTTAAATTTAAAATTTATGATAATTATGGAATTGTAATAAATTTAATAAACGCAATAGATCATCTTATCAAAAGAAAACACGCTTAAAAAAATTTATACATTCATTTTACTCAGTACATGTACATGTAAAAAGTTTGTCTTATAAGTTACTAAATTAATTTATAAGTCTAAGTAGTTACTAAATTAACTTAAATCTAAAATTTATGATATTTATGGAAAGGTAATAAATTTAATAAAATAACGCAATAGATCATTTTATTAAAAGAAAACACGTTTGAAAAATTTATATATTTATTTCACCCAGTTTGAAACATGTAAAAAGTATGTCTTATAAGCTTAAGTCGAAACTTATGTAAGTAAGAAAGATAAGTATATCGTATTGCATTTTGTGCGGATTGATGAAATAAGCCCAACGATTAGACTACAGGTTTGAGTGGCCCTTTTCTATTGTTATCCATAAAGATTAATGTTTTTTTAACCTTCTAAAATTTCTGAAATTAGAATAACTTTCTAAGATTTTCTTGAAATTATTCAAAATATCTTAGAAAAGATTATCTTCGGCATGAATAAAGTTCTCTCTAATTTCTAAAAGCAGCATTATACACTCTCAAACAGAATGTGTTGCGACTACTAGAGTGCCTAATACTAGAGCGACTACTAGAGTGCTACTAATGCAATTTATACTGATTTGGGCAAAATTGGCGAATTTCCTTCAATACAAATAGTTAGATTAAAAGAGCTACTATACAAAAGAAAATTACTAAATTTCAATTAGGTGAATTTTTCTTATTATTTAAAAAATTAATTACATACTTTATCGGGGTATATTCTAATTACTTATTAGGAGTTGGGGTATTGTAAAATTAATATTGAGATGCATTTTCTTTTTCAATGTATTTTCATACGAACACAAGAGTCACTTTAAAGCCAATATTAATTTGCAGTGTAAGTGACAATACTTTTTCTTAGGTAATATCAAGGATTTCGATGACATTTATGCAACTAAAAATTTACCACCATGGGTAGACTTTAATTTGCAATCAAAATTCTTTTTTACTCCTAATTGTTTCTTAAATAAAAAGTTAATCTTAAATAGGCGAATTTTGTTTTTCATTCAGCTTGAATAATTTTTATTTATTGCTTAAATACATCGAACTAGTTCTTAAAATTAAATTTTAATAAAATTTATCATAAAAAAATTATGACCGAGGTTTTAGTTTTTTGGCATTGCATTTTTTTTTTCACAGTTTAATTGATTCTGATAGAAATCGAATTAAATATAAAAGTATTACCTATAAAAATTCTCCTCACCGTCTTCTTTAAATATAAATCAAAGTTTATTTTATTTTTTAGTATTGAAATAATTGATATCTTTCAAACGAAGGAAAAAATAACAATAATTTTTATATAGTCTTACGATACTTTGTAATTAAATAAAATGGCATTTCGTCCGTAATATATGTAGTAAAATAGTTTTTTTTTTTAAAGCAGGTTTATTTGAATGGAAAATATAACTCTTTATGCTGTTTAACAAAATAGGTTCAAAAGTGGAGGTGCGGGGGATCGAACCCCGGGCCTTTCACATGCAAAGCGAACGCTCTACCACTGAGCTACACCCCCGATAACTGAATGGTAGATTTAAACAATCAATTTCACGTTTTTTGGTTACATTTTTTAAAATGCCTCAATATAAAACTGAAATATGAATATATTATTAGACAATTATTGGTACCCTGGAATTTAATACATTGAAAAATTTACTTTTCAACTTACGTCAAAAAATATTTTTATTCCTTAGAACCAATTATTACATTTCGTTAGATATTTAGATTAGATATCTAGAGTAATTATTAAAACTCAGTTCAAAGATAGTAGATTTTAAATAATAATTTTTTTTCAAGTGAGGTTTTTCTGATTTTTGATCAATTTTATTTATAATGAACTTCTTATGTTTTGAAAACATTTAAAAGCGTGACTTGTGGCACCATCTCTCAGTTGATTTGAACACTAATTCACAGGTGCCCTATTTCTTACTTAAATAGAGGAAAACTAAAGGATATAGGAGACCGTTCTATGATTAATTTTCATAATTTAAAATAAAAAACTGAATTAAAATTTACTAATTACTGAAAGAAATTCTAATCATTTTCATTACTGAATTTTCATTACTAATCATTACTGAAAGAAATTTAGAATCAATTTTAAAAAATACAGCTTCATTGAATTAATTATTAATTAGAATTTATATTGTATGTACATAACATAAAATTAAATTTAAGAAGAAGAAGGATTTTATAAAAATACAAAACTTAAAAAAAAGTTTACACTTGGAAATAGAATAATTAAAAAGTTTTTTATTAAAATATATACACTTTTTGACGAAATTTTGTTTAATTTGAAACATTGTGTTACCAATTTGATTTTTAGTTAGGATTTACCGTGCATTTAAAAATTAAACGAGATTTATTATGTAATAATATCTTTTAAATATATATCAGTTTATATAATCATTTTATTTTCAGAGAATTAGATCATATGGTTTTCTTTTTAATGTGCGCATTTTCAATTACTTATTAAAATAACTGTTAAAAGATAACAGAAATAATTGTTAAAAGATAAAATGTATTTATACGATAGGGGAATAACAAATATCAATATAAATTAAGAAGTCTTTATGATTAAGAAAAAACAATTTTTTTTTTCACAGAATATGAAGTTTAGAAATAAATAAAAATTTGAAAGCAAATTAATTTTTAAAAATTCTTTACGTAAGTTAATTTTTTCTTCTTCTTTCTATTTGCCAACATTTCGTGCGTTCTGTTATTTCCAAAATATTTAAATTAATACAGAACAACCTCGAGTGTCTAATCAAAGCCACCAGATGAAATTTTTCAATGGATCCAACCCTGAGAATTATACATTAAAATATTTCAAAAATTGTGTACAAATAGTAATTATTTGTAATTAAAAAATAACGTTTTTGTGTGTTCATATTGGACATCTTCTTAAATAATTTAAATAATTTGTTTAGTGGTATTGAATCTAAAGTTTTTGGCACAAAATTTAATACATATGTTCTTTAAAAAAATGAGCTTTCATGTGTCAACAAATAGTTAATACTAAAAATTACTAAGAAAAAATTAGTTTAATCAATCCAATATATTAAATGAAACCTAGTATGTTAAATTATAGCCTAACCTAATATATTAAATTATACCCTAACATAATATATTAAATTAAATTAAAATACTGCTTCTTACTTGCGTACCAAATTTCTTGAATTTCTTTCGAGATTTTTTTGTAAATTAAAGAGTAAGTTATTGAAAGTAAGTTAAAGATTGAGTTTATAAATTTATCATCTTTGAACTGCCAATAAATATGTTGCTAGATTTTTAAATGGGTACTTAAGAGGTTGAATTGATAAATTCTTCTATTAGTTCACAATAAAGAAACACGTAATACTTGTTTATTGTTATGGTTAACTCAAATACTAACCTAATTATTTACTAAAGGAATTTTATTGGTTGATTTTAAAAGCCAGTCTATTCAAACCAACTCTGTAAAACATTTCTGTAAAAATACAGAGAGAGAAACAAAAATCTCTGTTTCCAGTTAACTGGCTATGACGAATTACTTCGTTATATACGAACTACTACTGTAATCGGCGTGACGACATTTTCCGTCATGGAAATTACTTGAGGTGTGATGATATTACTTATAACCATGAGGAAAAAAGTTCTCATTGTGAAGCAAGTTGAAGTAAAAAAAGTAATTTCTTCCTCAAAAGTAAATTAACGAGATTCTCAATAATATATTAAAGAAAATTTCCTGATTTTGCCTGCGCATTTATTTAAAGGGACTTTCTTTCAAATATTTCTATGAATCGTAATTTATTTCTTAAATAAGTAACTCTCCAGTTCATGAGGAGAGTAAAGTCTTCACCTAAAATGCCTTCGCTTAAGGCTCGTACCCCCATATTAAAATCTGGTAGTACGATCAAAATGCACCTTTTCTGCTTTAGTGGTTTGGATTCCGATCGAAAATAATATTCTCGATGATTTCAGGTCCGATAAGTTATTTACTTCGGTAACTTAACTTTGTTCCTCTAAAATGACTGAATGTTATTGGCATATTTTTCTACATTTTCTCTGAAACTTTCAATTTTTTAATTCTTTATAATTTTACATGATATTCCTTTGCGATGATTTCTTGGAATTTTATATA